GACTCACAATTATCCAACTCTAATTCTAAGGGATCCTATACCCTCTTCTGACTCCACCAATACCAAGCACTCACATGACCCACTCACATACATGCAGGCAAAAACTCATACACATAAAAAATTTAAATCTAAAAAAATTAAACAGAAGACTTTTTTTTTTTTTTTTTTTTTTTTTTGGTTTTTCGAGACAGGGTTTCTCTGTGTAGCTTTGCGCCTCTCCTGGAACTCACTTGGTAGCCCAGGCTGGCCTCGAACTCACAGAGATCCGCCTGGCTCTGCCTCCCGAGTGCTGGGATTAAAGGCGTGCGCCACCACCGCCCGGCTAACAGAAGACTTTTGTAATATGTAGATAATACCACCCCTTGGAAACAACTTTACTTTCTGTCTGTATGAACTTTATAATTGAAATTTCCCATAAGTGGAATACTATTGCCTTTGGCATATTGTGTCTGGCTTCTTTTACTTAGTATAATGTTATAAAAATGCAGCTGGAGAAATAGCTCTGTAATTAAGAGTGTTTACTGTTCTTGCAGAAGACCAGAGCTTGATTTCCAGTACCCACACTAGGTGTCTCACAACATTCTGTAATTCCAGTTCCAAAGGATCCAACACTCTCTTCTGGCTTTTGCAGACACACACACACACACACACACACACACACACACACACACACACACACACAGAGAGAGAGAGAGAGAGACAGACAGACAGACAGACAGACAGAGAAACATTTTAAAATTCTAAAAGTTCTTGCAGCCATCAGTTGATGAGCACTAGGTGGCTTCCAAATTTGGGCTATTATAAATAATACCACTGTCATTTGTGTATAAGTTTTTGAGTGTGTGTTTCAAATCTACTTATACATGTCTCAGTTACATACGTCTTCATTTCTGAATTCTTTTCTCTGACTCTACCAAATTTCTAAATCTAAATTGTCTACATGAAGCAGAAGGCCATATAGAACCTCTGAAGTTTAATTTTTGAGGAATTACACTGCTCTTTTCCCCAGTGCTCACACCACTTTATATCTCCACCAGTGATTCATGCTGGTCCAAATTTCTTCACATCCTCACTAATATGTTTTTTACTTTCCTTTAAAAATGATAGTCATTCCAAGCCGGGCGGTGGTGGCGCACGCCTTTAATCCCAGCACTCGGGAGGCAGAGCCAGGCGGATCTCTGTGAGTTCGAGGCCAGCCTGGGCTACCAAGTGAGTCCCAGGAAAAGCGCAAAGCTACACAGAGAAACCCTGTCTCGAAAAACAAAACAAAACAAAAAAAAATGATAGTCATTCCAGGGATCCCCTAACCAAGCTGGCTAGGGAGACTAGCAATATCGGCAAGCTCTGGGTTTGGTTGAGATACCCTACTTCAATAAATAAGGTGGGAGAGGAATTGAGAATAATTCCTGACATCAACCTCTGACCTCCACATGCACTTGCACACAGGTGCACACACATCCATACATGCGTGCTCAAACACATGTAAACATGCACACCACACACACATGAAAATGGGAAAAATAGAAATGCCAATTATCCTAGAAAGTGTGCTAGGCTGTCACACGTAGCTTTCATTTTCTTTTTTTTTTTACAGCGAATGCTACTGAACACCTTTTCATATGATTTTATCCATTTGTAAACCTGTGGGGAAATGATTACTGAAATTCTCTAGTTAGTTTTAGTTAGGTTTTTTAAATTGAATATACTGTATTCTAAATACTAATCACATTAAAGATAAGATTTTCAAATATTTTCTTCTACTCTATGGGTTGTCTTTGGCTTTCTTCATAGTTTTTTCTTTTAAATTTGATGAAGTGTGAATTTGATGATGTGTGACTTGCTTGTGCCTTTGATGTCAGATTTACAAAGTTATCACTTCCCACAGCTTCTGGTCTCTAAAGCCAATCATCAGTAATAGGAACCAAGTCTCTTTGAAGAAATGGCTGATGCCAAGACCAGTCCAGGAAATATACAAGAGCTGCCAGGATTAATAACCATCTTTAGTTCCAGAAAGTATGGGAGCCTATCATTGCGTATCTCAAAGCAACACAGGAGCTGATGAAAAAGTTCCTGTGTCTAAAGCTGCATTGACATGAGCAACAAAATGAGTAATATAAGCCAGCAGTGGTGGCACACGCCTTAATTCCAGCACTCCGGAGGCAGATGCAGGTGGATCGATGAGTTTGAGGCCAGTTTGGTCTAAAGATAGCCAGGGCTACACAGAGAAACCCTGTCTCAAAAAACCATAAAAAGTAGTACATCATATTGCATTCACAGTATAAACTAAATGCCATGAATCTATACCCCATAACAAATCATTTAATACACTAGTTAGTAGGAAAGAAGGATTTCCAATTAAATTCCTAACCTCCTTTCTGTTTCAAGTGTTACAGCTGGAATATTGAAATGCCCCTGTGAGGTCATGGTTTAAACACTTGTTCCTCTGCTGGTAGTGCTGTCTGGGGAGACTATGGGGTCTTTAGAAGAGAGGACCTCGATGGATGAGTCCTTGGAAGATAAGTTACCCCTGCCTGATTCCTCTTTTGCTCTCTGCTTCTTGGTCCATCATGATGAAGACAGCCTCCACCCCAGGCCTCCAACATGAACTGAATACCTCTGACACTGGGAGCCAAAATAAATCTTTGCCCCTTAAGTTGTTTGTGTCTGGTATGGTATAGTGGATGCAGCAATGCAAAGGAAACTAAACCATATGGACTGACATCATCTGAACCTTTGCCCAATGCTCCAGGGTTCATCTGTGCTGCAGTGTGTACCAACACTTGCTCTTTTTCTGCCCCCAAAACAAGCTGTTGCTGTACCACACTTTATCTATCCATCAACCAGTTAATTAGCATTTGAGTCACTTCGACCTTCTGGTTATTGTGAATGGCACCTCTGAGAATAATACAAGTTTTCATTTGAATAACTATTTTCAATTTTTTGATAGAAAATGCAGGCGTTAATCTTTAATTCAAAGAAGGAAATGACCAGCTATCTTAAAATCTCTAGTCAATTCGACAAATATTTACCAAGAACCTATCAGCTGCCTGGTGGCAAGCCTGGGTAATTACAATTTGAGACAAAAATTGCCTTTGACTTCTTTGTACAAAGTAGAATAGCAGTAAAACTCAGACCTCTTAATATGGGGGTTCAACTATTCCTTTTACATGTGATATGAAATGAAAACTACTCAGGAGAGAGGAAGGGAACCAGAAGGTAGTGGTGGGGTATGGAGAAGTGAGGGAGGGGTACAATTTTGAACAAAGTGTAATGGCATATTGTGGTGATATTATGTTCCCCAATATATTGTGCATTCTAATAAACTTAGCTGGGGTCAGAGGACAGAACAGCCACTAGATAGACATAGAGGTGTAGCAGGAATCTTAACAGGTCTTATTAATAAAATCAAACCTGGAGCCAGGTATTGGGGGAAACACTGGATTATCAGAGAAGCAGAAAAAGCCACAGCTACCTCACCTTGCCAGTTCCTCAGCTGATCCTGTTTCCTCAGACTGGAAGCCTCTCAGTCCTCATCCAGAATGGGTCTCAACTGAACTGTAGCTCAAAAGCCTAAAAGCTTAGCCAGCCAAATGCTTAACCAGCCAAATGCTTCTAGTTTCTGGTCTTCACGCCTTATATATCTTTCTGTTTTTGCCATTACTTCCTGGGATTAAAGGCTCACTTTCTGGGATTAAAGGTGTGTGTCACCATGCCTGGCTGTTTCCAATGTGGCCTTGAACTCACAGAGATCCAGAGGGATTTCTACCTCTGGAATGCTAGGATTAAAGGTGTGAGTGCCACCATTTTCTAGCCTTTGTATCTAGTGGCTGTTCTGTCTCTGACCCCAGATAAGTTTATTAGGGTGCACAATATTTTGGGGAACACAATACCACCACATAGAGGCCAGAAAATGGTGGTACACACACCTTTAATCCTAGCATTCTGGAGGCAGAGATCCATCTGGATCTTTGTGAGTTCAAAGCAACACTGGAAAACGGCCAGGCATGGTGACACATGCCTTTAATCCCAGGAAGTGATGGCAAGAAGCAGAAAGGTATATAAGGCATGAGGACCAGGAACTAGAGCCTGGTTAAGCTTGCAGGCTTTTAGCAGCAGGTCAGCTGAGATCCATTTGGATGAGGACACAGAGGCTTCCAGTTTGAGTAAACGAGATCAGCTGAGGAATTGGCAAGGTGAGGTAGCTGTGGCTTGTTCTGCTTCTCTGATCTTCTAGCATTCACCCCAATAACTGGCACTTGGTATGTTTTTATTAATAAGACCTTTTAAGTTTCATGCTACAGCACATATATATGTATATGTATATATATATATACACACACATATATAAACACATACATATGCCACAGAACCATTACTTTTTATTATAACTTACAAGTTAATTTTCAGGACAAGAGAGCTAGCTCAGCAAGTAAAGGCACTTGCCAACAAACCTGACACCTAGTTTGGAGTTTGATTACCAGAAACCAGGCCTTAACTGAATGTCTCAAATGAAAACAATCACTAAACCTCACCCTGTCCATGCCTGCACTCATCACCTCATCACAGAGAGTCTCAGGGCTGTTTCTTGGCACTTGAATGGGCTGTTTTGGTCTGCCTGGCACCTCTCTCCAAGCTTCTTGACTGGGTCAGCTCCCTGAAATACCTACATCTGCTGAGAACTCTGCCTCTCCCCTAGGCACTTTCACTCAGTCTGCAGCGCTCCCCCAAAACACGCAGGCCACTGAAGGGCTAGTATTAGGTCATCTAGGTGAAATGTAGCGATGTAGCAACAGGCGCACACACAGATGCGCTAACGCTTGCTGCCTCTCGTGGTAGCTCCGCCCCAGTCCCATACCACCACGCCCACAGGCTATGGGGGGAGGGGAGGATAAGGTGGGGCGTGACGTCACAGACAGCGGCCGCCCATTGGGCCGTCGTGCGCGCCGGGGCCGGAGGGCGTGTCTGCGAGCGCTGATTGGCTGGCGCGCTCTGGCGGGGCGGAGCCGACCGCGGGCCGGGAGCACGGCGGCGGCTGCAGCATGGGTCCTCGCCCGCGGCTTCGCTGAGCCTCGCTGGCGTAGGCTGCCTGCGGCGCCCGCAGCGGCGGCGGCATGAAGGGGGCCCTGGGGAGCCCGGTGGCCGCCGCGGGCGCCGCGATGCAGGAGACGTTCGGCTGCGTCGTGGCCAACCGCTTCCACCAGCTGCTGGACGACGAGTCGGACCCATTCGACATCCTGCGCGAGGCCGAGCACCGGCGCCAGCTGCAGCGCAAGCGGCGCGACGAGGCGGCGGCGGCCAGCGGGGCCGGGCACCGCGGCGGCCGGAGCCCGGCTGTGGCCTCAGGATACAGACCCGGCGCGGCCGGCCGCAGGGAGTCTCAGAAGGAGCGCAAGAGCCTCGCGGCGTCGGGCGCACAGCAGCCGGACAGCCCTGGGGGCCCGCAGCCGCCAGGTACGCCGTGGGCACCCAGGTCACCCCCTCCCACTGCTAGACTCGGGTCGCGGGGACTGGTCCCGCGTGGGCGAGTCAAGTCAGAGCTGGGAGTCCTGATGGGCTCAGGGCCCGAGGACACACTTCCGGGAGCCCCCCTCCAGAGTAATCACCCTAATAACCCTCCCAGGGGCTATCCTACAGGGTCACCCTCTCAGAGTCAAATTCCCCGGGTTCACCCTCCCGGGAGCCACTCTTGCAGGATCATGACCCTCCAGGGCCACCCTCCTGGGTGGTCACTTTCCTGGGTCACCCTGTCTCGGTATAAGGGCCAGGGTCTTACTCCCAGTGGTCTCATCCTAGTTGGGGGAGAGTAAGCAGAGCCGTGAATCTTGATGGACAGAGGGCCCTTGGTCACTACCCCAGGGTCCCTGTCTACGAGGAGGGATGGGAGGCTCCTTGTCCCTATGGACCCGTTCCGGGTCGGGGGTGGAGTGGGCCGAGCTGGAGGTTCCTGATGGACAAGAAGGCCCGGGGGTGAGCACGGAAGACCTGGCGGTCCTGGTTCGTTGGAGGGGCCGGGGACTGACAGCCTGTCCCTGGCTGCATTCTTCCTTCATCCTCCCCGCGGGCCTCTGCAGGATTCAGCTCCGTAGGCGACGCACAGTTGAAACCCTCAGGGATCCCAGACTCTGGGCCTCGAGATTCAGGGAGGCCTGGGCACTCGAGGGTGCGGGAGCCGCTGGACGGCAGACCTGAGCCCAGGGTGAGTAGGGTGGACTTGGGGTCCCGCTCCTCTGTGCCTTATCCCTTTTCTCTATCTGCATATCGTAGCTTCTATGTCATCGACTGCAGGTGGAACAAATGGTGTATACAGGTGGGGAGTGTAACTATGATTGATTGAATACTGTTTTTAACGGAGAACCGGCTTTAACCTTTGCAATCAGAATGTTCAAAGTTACCCTTTTTGGTTAGCAGAAGAGCCAACCCTCCGCTGGGTGTGCTGTCTGCACGGGAGGCTGCTTCAGACTTCGTGGCTGTCACCCTAACTGCGTCAAGGCTTTTGCAGCTAAGCTCTCGCCTCCTGCTTACCCTGTTTTCCCATAATAAGACTATGACCGTAAGGTTGGCAAGAAGGGGTATTGAAATTAGAGTGTAGTTTGACCACAGAGTAGGCAGGTGTTCATGTGGGCATTATTGCATTGTCCTTGCTTGGGAAAAACTGTCTGTCCCACCTCTAGCTTTAGGCTTGAGGCTTTAGCTAGGTAATGTTTACCTTTATCTGTAAAGTTAATTTGAGACATTGCTTGAGAATCAGAAAATTATTACAATAAAGATGGATACCTTAGTGGGTGTAGGACTCCTTTTAAAATTGAAATGCAGAGCTGGAGAGATGGCTCAGAGGTTAAGAGCACTGACTTTTCTTCCAGAGGTCCTGAGTTCAATTCCCAATAACTATAAGGTGGCTCACAACCATCTGTAATGAGATCTGACACCCTCTTCTGTATGCATAATAAATAAATAAATCTTTAAAAATAATTGAAATGCATCATACTGTTCATTATGTATGTATCATGTGTTTCTCTTAAACGTATTTAGAAAAATGGAAGGGGGAAAGGCTGTTTTATCTATTTACTTTTTTATCAAGTGAAAATACACTAGCCTCTGAAGAGTACCAGTTAAAATGTTGATATGTTGTTTGTTTGTTTAAGACAGGATTTCTCTGTGTAACAGCCCTTGCTGTCCTGGAACTCACATTGTAGACCAGTCTGGTCTCGAATGACGCCTCCCTCTGACTCCTGAGTACTGAGATTAAAGGCATGTACCACCACACCCAGCTAAAATGTTGATTTTTAGCCTTTTTAAAATTAAAAATATTTTTGTTATGACGAACCCAGTGTTTTATGCATGTTGAGCAAGTGATCTACCACAGAGCTTGTACCTCCCCCTCAACTTTCCGACCCCCCTACCCCCCACCCCCCGCTCTTGTTACAGAAATTTCAAACAAAATTTCAAACAATCTCAAAAATGTATGAAGTTAGCAAAAGGGTCCCTTACTTTTATTATGACTAGCACTATGCATTTATGCACATATATTTATATAATGAAAACACAGTGTGGGTTTGGGGAGATAGGTCAATCTGCAAAATGTTTGTCTTGAAAACATGAGGACCTCATGTTCCATCCCTACCTGAATCCCCAACCCCCAGAGAGAGGCCTGGTCTCAGAAAGTAAGGTGTGAACACCCAGGGTTTACCTCTGGCTTCTGGATCTAGCTGCACACTGACACATACATACATACATGCATACATGCATGCACACAGATACACTGCTGTTTCTTTTTTGCAACCTGCTCTCCTTGGGAGCTGTAAGCTAGTATACTTAGAACTTTATTTCTCCTGTCAGTTCACAGTCGAGGAAGTCTGGCTTTTGAGACCTAGTTGATGTTGTTAGGATGGAAATTTTGTAATGAGAATTCTTTTTAAGTGTGCATGATTTCCATGCCTGTAGCTCCTGTTTAAATGTATCTGATGGGCTGCAGAGAGTGGCTATAGGTGTTGTTATCACTAATTGACATAAAAGACCATGCTTTTCTGCACTCAAAAAAAAAAAAAAATATTAAGGGCTGGAGAGATGGCTCAGCCGTTAAAGGCTAGGCTCACAACCAAAAAAAAAAAAATATTAAACTTAGCCAGGCAGTGGTGGCACATGCATTTAATCCCAGCACTCAGAAGGCAGAGGCAGGCAGATCTCTGTGAGCTCCAGGCCAGCCTAGTCTACAGAACTAGTTCTGAGACAGCCAAGGCTACACAAAGAAACCCTGTCTTGGAAAAAAAAGGAAAGGAAAAAAATTTAAACGTTGACTGTCCTGAGTGCATGTGTACTGAAGACAGACACCATGCACATTTGCTGAGCAATAGAACCAGCTACTGACCTCAGAGATGTGGCAGTCATTGTTTTCCCACAGAAATACAGATTCTTAGTGCTCTTATCTGTGAGCCTTGCCCAGTAAATTCATTCTTGACTCATCAGTTGTTTCATCCTTGTTTTCATAGACATTCAGGGTTGTGGTGGATAAGCCAGCATTCAGTTTTGTCTTACAGGAAGTCTTACTGTAAATTTTACTGTTTAAAATTTACTGTAAAAATTCTGTTTACTCCAGGCTCTAGTTTAGACAAGTGATCAGACCCTATGAGCCAGCTCTTTATTGGAAAGGGTTGGAGAAATGCAGCATCTGCATTGCCTAGTCTGAGCTGCTGATTCAGCACAGAGAAGCAAGCTAGGTCCAGTTGCATCTTGGTCTCCTTGAACCAAGTTGGGGGGGAATAAAAATCTCTGATTACTCTTTTTGGGGTTTTAGAAAAATGCAGTGTTTGCAAGGTACTCATAATTATCATAATAAATTACATTTAATAGTTTCAGTTTATACACAGGGACCCTGGAAGAGACTTTATTTAATTGATACAATTAGAAATAACTAAGAGGAAACAGAAAGAAGTGAGAAAAAGCACTTCAGCAATTCTGTAGCTGAACAGAGATACATAGTTAAAAAAAAAAAAAGAGTTGCAAGTAGGAAATCAGAATCTGACTAAAATAATAGTTCTTTTCTTAAAGAGAAAGATTTTTTTATGTGTAAGCATGTTTACCTGCATGTATGTATATATATGGTCTACATGCATACAGTGCCCACAGAGGCCAGAAGAGGGTATCAGATTCCCAGAACTGGAGTTACAAATAGCTCCGAGCCACCATGTGGGTGCTAGGAACTGAACTCAGGTCCTCGGCAAGAGCCACAAGTGTGTTTAACTACTGAACCATTTCTCCAGCCCCAATAGTTCTTTTTGTTTTTTTAAATACATTTTTATTTGATGTGTACAAGTGTTTGCCTGCATGTATGTATGTGTACCACATGCCTGTCTGATGGCTGCAGAGGCCAGAAGAGGGCTTCAAATCCCCTGGAACTGGAGTTGGAGACCGTTTCTGAGCTATTCTGTGTGTGCTGGGAGGCAAACCGGGTCCTCTGTGAGCACAGCCAATCCTCTTAATTGCTGAGTTGTTTTTCTAATAGTTACTTTTACACTGAGGAGAGGTAGGAATGAGTGCTGATGATGGAGTGTCATGGTAGACCTACAGTTTTCAGCTTGTTAGTTTTAATGATGATAATTTATCCCATATCTTTCAAATACCTCTTCCAATTTTTTAGATTTAAAATTTTTGAAAATTCCATATATGAGTGCCATATTTACATATTTTCCTTTCTTCTTCTCCCAACTCTTCCTGTGCCTCTACAACCATCTCAAATCCATGACCTCTTCTATATCATTCCTACACACGCGCGCGCGCGCACACTCTACTAGTTGCTCAAATGTACATGTATTTACGGTTGGCCACTTGGGATTGAATAACCTATCAAGGCGGCTTGTCCCTGGAGAAAACAGATTCTTCCTGTCTCAGAGTCTGTTGAGTACCTATAGTTGTTCATCTAGGAGTGGGGCTTTATGAGATTTCCCCGTCCACACTGGCACTGGTATCATTATGCAGTTCCTGTGTAGATTTCATGGGTACAGCATCCCTATCATGTCTAGAAGATACTGTCTTGCAGCAGATATCATGGTCCTCTGGCTTATCTTTCCAAATCTTCTGTAATGTTCCCTTAGCCTTAGAGATAGTGGGTCATCTCTTCCACGTGAGTGCTCATATGGAAGCAAGAGGTCAATATTGGGTATCTTTTGTCACTTTTCACCTTATTTTTTTTGAAACAGAGTCTTTAATTTTTTGTTTGTTTTGTTTTCTGAGACGGTTTCTCTGTATAGTTTTGGTGCCTGTCCTGGATCTTGCTCTGTAGACTAGGCTGGCCTCGAACTCATAGACATCTGCCTGGCTCTGCCTCCCAAGTGCTGGGATTAAAGGTGTGCACTACCACTGCCCGACTAAAAAAAATTTTTAATGACTTTATGTGCATTGGTGTTTTGCTTGCATATATGTCTGTGTGAGTTACAGACAGTTTTGAGTTGCCATGTAGGTGCTGGGAATTGAACCCAGGTCCTCTGAAAGAGCTAAGTGCTCCCAACTGCTGAGCCATCTCTTCAGCCCCCTAAAAACATGGTCTTTTCTTTTCTTTCTTTCTTTGTTCCTTCCTTCTTTTTTTTTTTTTTTTTTTTGAACCCAGGTTTCTCTGTGTAGCCTTGGCTGTCCTGGGACTCTCTTTGTAGACCAGGCTAACAGAGATCCACCTGCCTCTGCCTTCTAAGTGCTGGGAGTAAAGGCGTGTGCCACCACTGCCCGAGACATAGCCTTTCAATAAACCCAGAAGTCACTGTGTATCTGTACTAGCTGGCCAAGGAGTTTCTCTGCCTCCCCAGTATTGGTGCTACAGGCATACTCCATCACCCTTGGCTTTTCTCTAGGTTCTGGGTATCTGAACTGTGGTCCTCATATTTGCACTTTGCCCACTGAGCCATCTCTCCAGCACCCAATTTTGATTTCTTGGTAATGTAAATTTTTCCAATAAAAGCTCTATTATGTGTTTTAGTGTTCTAAGTATATAACAAACTCAGATTGTGAACTCACTGAGTGATGCAAATTGTTTTTAAATATTTCTGGTCATGGGACATTGACATGATAGTGCTCATCTTTAATCCCAGTACTATGAGGCAACTAGATTGCTTGTGAATTTGAGGCCAGCCTGGTGTACATAGGAAGTTCCAGGCCAGCCAGGGTTACACAGTGAAACCCTGTCTCAAAGAGACAGAAACAGATTGAGCTTAGGTTTGTGGTGTAGTTTTTTCACACTCAAAAACTACTTTACAGTTTCTTGTTAGGAATATCACAGACATAATTTTTGATTCAAACTAAGAACTGATAATATATACAAGTGCTGGACTTTAAAGCTTAGGTACTAAATGCTACTGTGAAAATACATATATGCCTATATTTCCTAAGAGTATATGTGTATATACCTATATATACAAATATGCATATATATGTTGTCTATGAGAGAAATTTAACAGTTAAAAATGTACCTATTTGAAGAAATTAAACTTTTTATAACTATACAATCAATGGGAAGAATAATTTCTACTAAGAAAAGTAAAAGCCTTTAGAATAGAAGTTGCACATACTGTTTGGGGACCTAAGAAGTGGTGAAGCTCTGCATAACATCACTAGAAGTTAGATAGCTTCAAACTCATGGATTTAAAAAGCTAAGCATAAAATGTAGAGAACAGGGCTGGCCAGTGGTAGAGCACACCTTTAATCCTAGAACTCGGAAGGCAGAGGCAGGCGGATCTCTGGTCTACAGAGCATCTTCCAGGACAGCTAGGGCTACACAGAGAAACCCTGTCTTGAAAAACCAAAAGGGAGGGGGAGAGAAAATGGCAGCCCCTGCTCCAGCTGGGTGATGGATTCTTAGTAAACAAAAAGACACCCTGTTTGAGTACTGGCTGCCTCTTAAATGGGTTAGGGAATATGTGTGATATGAGTAATGTCACATAAGAATCCTATCAAAAAGCAAGAAACTAAATAATCATGCACACCTCTGTGTTAAAAGCAAACACCTACCTTTATGTCAGAAGACAGACCCTAGTTGCCCGTGGTTTGTTTGCAGCTAGGATTCTTTTTTGTTTTGTTTTGGTTTTGTTTTTTGTTTTTGTTTAGTTTTTCAAGACAGGATTTCTCTTTTAGTCCTGGCTGTCCTAGAACTCTCTCAGAGATCCACCTGCCTCTGCCTCCTGAGTGATGGGATTAAAGGCATGCACCACCAAGTCCAGCTGCAGATGGATTCTAAAAGTGTAGTCTGAGGTGCAGGGTTTTTATCCTTTGATTTCCTTAGATGGGTCTTTATCACTATGACTTGGAAAAGCTGTGCTTGTGAAATGCCATCCATCCAGTAAAAGATAACCTAACAGCAGTCACAGAGGCACTGAAAAAATGTCAGACTAGCCAAGCGTGGTGACACACACCTAAGGCAAGAGGGTCAGTTCAAGGCTGGCCTAGGCTCCATGGTAACATCCTGTAAATTTGTAGTTTGTATGGGTTAACCCTGTCACTTCTAGGACTTGGTGAAGTTTATTGATAGTTAGCAGATGAGGCAGTGGTAGACTGTTTCTCTCAGAAACCCTCACTAGTGACTCTGATTTCTGGTAGAAACCTCTACACCTCGTGCCCACCCCATACCATGCTGCTGTGGATGCTGTGTTCCAGCTTTGCTGTGGTTCTCCTGGCAGGCCAGAAGCGGACTCCTAGAAGAGGGGAGCAGCAAGGATGGAACGACAGCCGGGGGACAGACGTGTTTGATAGAGCAGAGCGGAGGTCCTACAGGGAACATCGACTCTATGACACTGAGAGACAGGCAGACTTGACAGCGGAGAAGTTCAATGATGAAAAGTATGTACCTCAGTCCTCGGTTAGGGTGGCCGGGGCCCCAGAGATTCCCAGATAACTACTAGGCTTTGTGACATTTCTGTGGTGGCAGTCCTGCGAATAATTTGCCAAGGTAAGTCTCAAGTCATGTTGCCTTCAGTAGAAGGATCTTCCATTTACCTATATCTTAGTTCAGGAAATGATTGTACAATTAACAATTAATTGTGGTCAGGTGGTGGTGCACACCTTTAATCCCAGCACTCGGGAGGCAGAGGCAGGTGGATCTCTGTGAGTTCGAGGCCAGCCTGGTCTATTCCAGAGAATTCCAGAACAGCCAGGGCCACATAGAGAAACCCTGTCTTGAAAAAAAAAAAAATGGGGGCTTGGGGTATAGCTCAGTGGTTGAGCTCTTGACTACCGTGCACAAAGTTCAGAGCACAGAAGGAGTATTTGGGGTACATATGAAAGGCCTTTTTAAAATTTTTATTTTATGTTTGTGGATTTGGCCTGTGTATATGTATGTGAACTCTGGAATCAGATTCCCTGGATCTAGAGTTACAGATGGTTGTGAGCCACCATGTAGGTACTGGAAATCAAGCCCAGGTCATTTGCAAGAGGAGCCAGTGCTCTTAACCACTGAACCATCTCTCCGACCCCTGAAAAGCCCTCATGTTAAAACAACAACAACAACAACAAAACACACACACACATACACACAAAGTATGCTGAACAGGTTAAAAATTCTTTTGAAGTTAGATTAGGAAACTAATTTTGGACTTAGGGATATAATTACAGTGAGTTTAGCAGTTGTCCCATGACCTCCTCATGTACACTGTGGTGCATGTGTGTTCATGTGCAAACGAACAAACAATAAATGTGAAAAAACAAAACCAGCAAATACCCACCCACCTTGCCATCTGAGATGCAGGCTTTGGCCTATTTTCCCATCTGTTAATCTACCAAGGTGGTAAAGTGGTGTCTTAGTTATTTTTCTTTTTTTTTTTTAATTTACTCTTTTTTAAAAAATTTTATTTATTTGTATTTTATGTACATTGGTGATTTGCCTGCATCTGTGCTTGTGTGAGGGTGTTGGATCCCCTGGAAGAGGGGTTACAGACAGTTGTGAGCTGCCATGTGGATACTGGGAATTGAACCCAGGTTCTCTGTAAGAGCAGTCAGTGCTCTTAACTACTGAGCCATCTCTCTAGCCCCATTAGTTTTTTTTCTATTGCTGTGATGAGTTATCATGATCAAGGCAACTTAAGAAAAAAAGAAGCATTTAATTGGGGTCTTAAAGTTTCAGAGTGTGAGTCTTTAACCATCATGTCAGGGAGCATGGCAGCAGGCAGGCAGGTAGGCATGGTTCTGGAGCAGTAGCTGAGAGCTCACATCTGATCTGTAACCACAAGGCAGAGATCAAGTTAACTGAGGCAGCAATGGACTAGTGAGGGCTTTTGAAAACTCACAGCCCACCCCCCATGACACACACCTCCTTCAACAAAACCACACCTAATTCTTCCCATACCTCTAGTCCTTCCCAAACAGTTCCACCAACTAAAAACCAAACATTCAAACATATGACCCTATGGGGGCCATTCTCATTCAACCACAGATGCACACATGCTGACCACTTCATACCCTTTCTTTTCTTCTTGACATACATGAGGGTTTCCCATGTGATCAGCAGTGTTTGCTCAGTGTTTTTAGTTGTGTGTTAATTGCACATGATGTGTTATTGCACACTGTACTCAGTGGCTGTCTTGTGACCCATTATTTGGGTGAATCATATGTTACCACTTGCTTAGTGCTACTAGGCCTGTGCTTGGCTCAGCATTAGGCTTTATAATGATGCTTGGGAGCAGAAGCAGCTTTTGATTGTGTAAGGCATTTCCTCAGTAGAGTCCTGGAATTAGAGTGCCAGTTGAGGTTGTAAAGCTGTGACTCTCAGGCAGGTGACCTATATCTGCCTCCGGCTTTTAGTACAAAATTGGATGGAAAGAGATGGTATAAAAACAGACAAAATTGGGGCCAGGTGACAAACCACTGTCATAACTACCTATCAGTTTGCTTTGTCACTTATCTGTGATAGATAGCATCTCCCATGGCATATTCTGCAAACTGGGCTGTAATCCAGGTTGATTTTTGCTTATTTGAATTAAAGTACACTTACTTTGAATTTCTTGATTCATGTTTCTTGATTCATGTTACTAGCCAGAATTATAAAAATTTTTTATCTTAAAAGAGTCTAAATTCAGCCCTTTCAACTTACAGATGGAAAACAGATATCCAGAGTTGGAGTGACTCTGGTCTCAGCTAGTTGACAAGGATGTTGTACAGTCAGAACACATGTTTTCCTTCAGAAGCGATATCCTATGTGTGAGGAGTTGACCGAACCAGGATCAGATGCAGAGAACAGTCATGTTGGTGTGTGTGGATCTGGGATGCAGATATTCCTTTCAGCGAAGCAGAAGCTTTTCCTTAGGCCTCTTAATGAACTTAATTGAACCCTCTGAACATAGACTTATTAGGTTTGGCAGGTAAGAGCACTTGCTGTTCTTCCAGAGGAACTGAGTTTGTGAGCACACTTACCAGGCAGTGTAACTCCAGCTCTAGGGGATCTGATGCCCTGTTCTGGCCTCCAAGAGCACACACAGGGATGTTTGTATAGATACAGATTCACGCAGGCATACACATAAATAAAAATAAAATAAGCACTGTGCAGTGGTGGTGCACACCTTTAATCCTAGCACTTGGGAGGCAGAGGCAGGCGGATCTCTGTGAGTTTGAGGCCAGCCTGGTCTACAAAGCTAGTTTCAGGAAAGCCAAGGCTGTTACACAGTGAAACCTTGTCTCAAAATAAATAAATAAAATAAATCTTAAGACATACCAAAGTCTTGACTGTCTTGGTCACAGGGTAGAAGAAGGTTCAGTATGTTAAAGATTTCAGCTCCAAATAGCACCTTCTGGCTGTGTGTTTAGAAGAGAGATTTGGAGGGACAATATTTAAAGCTGAAGTATTTTTCTTACACAAAATATTCCTCATTAAGTGTTTAATACCAAGACAGGAAAGAACCTTCACATTTAATTAACACAGTCATTGTATATAAATGAGGAAACTGGATCTACAGAGCGAAAGCCATGCCCCCACCAGTTGAGAACCAGAACCTGTGCTCCCTACCTGATACCCATGTGACCTTGGACAAATCCCTTCCTCTGCTGCTCCGGGTTCTCATCTCTTTAACAGCAGCTCTGTATACTAGACTTGGTTGTGAGAATTAAAATGCTATGTGTAAGTGCTCAGAGCAGTACCAGGGTGTGTTCAGTGGTTAACTATCAGTTTAGTCAAGCCACCATGCTTTCTGATATACTATAACCATAACTGCCTTCTAGAGTTTGTGTGTTTTTCTCAAAAAGGTTTCAGATCTTTTAAGTCCATTTCATCACTTTTCATTATACCTGTCTTTTCCTAGACCAGTTGACAGGTTTGATCGAGACAGACCACTAAGAGGACGTGGAGGCCCCAGAGGAGGCCTGAGGAGCAGAGGCCGAGGTGGTCCTGGGAACAGAGCTTTTGACTCCTTTGACCAAAGAGGGAAACGAGATTTTGAAAGATACAGTAGCAATGATAAAGTGTAAGCTCCTTTGCCTGTGCCATTTCCACTTTAGATTGTGTGTCTGTTGATGACCAGCTTGATATGAGTGTGCTATCTGTCATTCCTGTGGGGGCAGGATTTTATTCTTTTAAAGATTTACTTTTTTAAAGATTATATGTATCTTAGCTGGGCGGTGGTGGTGCACACCTTTAATCCCAGCACTTGGAGGCAGAGGCAGGCGGATCTCAGTGAGTTCGAGGCCAGCCTGGTCCACAAAGTGAGTTCCAGGATAGCCAGGAATGTTACATAGAGAAACACTGTCTTGGGGAAAAAATAGATATGTGTATCTGTGTGTGTGTTGTGGGGGTGGGCTGCCACATTCATGAGTACACTGTGACAGAGGCCACAGACCAGTTTCAGGTTCCCTGGTGCTATCTGATGTAGGTACTGGAAATTAAACTCAGGTCCTTTGTAAGAGCAGTATGCACTGAGATATCTCTGCAGACTCTGGGGCACTGCTTTCTGATTGGGAGACTGATGAGGACCAGACTCCACCTCAAGTTAATATGACTATTCTTTGTTTCTTCAGAGCAAACAGAATGGAGGACAGCATGGGTGGCTATGGTGTCCGCCCCTGGGGATCAGGTAAAGACACTAGGTAAGGTATAAGGATGTGTTCTCTGAGAGCCTGCAGGAATGGGAGTCTCAGAACCGTGGCTTTTTAAAAACTATGTTCTCTCTGGTTCTGTTTGTCAAGTAGAGATTGATGTGGATTGTTGTTTAGAGTGTGTGTGTGTGTGTGTGTACGCCTGGGATTGACTGAATCAGGAGAAAGCTTTTTAAAACATAGTTGTTATGTTTATTTAGACTCAAAACTGTTTTTAAAGATCTGTTTATTTACTTACTTTATTTATTTGAGACAGAGTCTCACCATATAGCCCTGGATGGCCTGGAACTCATTATATAGACCAGGCTGGTCTGGAATTCACAGAGATTCTCCTACCTCTGCCTCCCAATCAAAAGCATATGCCACTATACCTGACCCCCAAAGGTCTATTATTTTATCTTATTTTAGCTAAGTTATACTTGACAGATGGCCACATATATGTTCATATATTTTAAGCATATGGTGTGGCACACTTGTACATCTCAGAATGCATTTTTTTTTTTTTAATATTTGAGACAGGGTCTCACTATTTGGTCCAGATTGTCATTAATCCTTCTGTCTCAGCTTCCCAAGTGCTGGGGTTATAGACATATGCATTACACCCAACCTATACTTTATTTTTCTATGAGCTTCCAAAGTTCTTACAGATCTTTATTTGGTATAGTCCTTTGCAGGGTCTGAACATGTGGCTCAGTTAGAAGAGTACTTGCCCAGTATGCACAACACTCTGGGCTCAATCCCCAGCACTGTTTAAACTGGGAGTGGTGGTGAATGCCTGAAATCCCAGGTTCTGAAGTTCAAGGTTATCTTCAGCAATATAATGAGTTCAGGGAAAGCCTGGTAAACATGAAGCCTTGTCTCAAATTGAGTACTTGCCGCTCTTAAAAGGGACCTGAGTTTCAGGAGCTTTGAATCCCTCTTCTGCTTCAGTGGGTACTGCACCCACATGGTACATATACAGGCATGCAGACACACACACATACACAGAAAATAAGCCTTAAAAAAAGTTGAAAGTTGGAATCCTTTTTTTTAATATAATTTTTGGGGATTTATTTATTTTATGTATTGTGCTCTATCTGCATGTACACCTGCATGTCAGAAGAGGGCATCAGATCCCATTATAGATGGCTGTGAGCCACCATGTGGTTTCTAGGTATTGAAATCAGGACCTCTGGAAGAGCTGCCAATGCTCTTAACCACTGAACCATCTCTTCAGCCCCCAAAAGTTGGAATTCTTGCCAGACTTAGTAGCATATACCTTTGATCTCAGCACTTGGAGGGAGGAAGCATTGCAGAGGCAGGTAGATTCATATGTGAGTTTGAGGATAACCTGTTCTACATAGTGATTTCTAAGCCACTCAGGGATACACAGACTTTTTCTCAAAAATAAAATAATATAAAAAGTGTTTAAAAAAAAAAAGCTGAATTCTCCAGAGTTTGGATTTTTTTTTTTTTTTTTTTACTCTTTCACGGATTTTTTTTTTTTGTCTGTTCTTAATTTTAGAGCATTCATGGACATTTCTATTTATCTTTGACATTTCGGAAATAACTTTTTTGTTTTTGTTTTCAAGACAGGGTTTCTCTTTGTAGCCTTGGCTGTCCTGGAACTTGCTTTGTAGACCAGGCTGGCCTTGAACTCACAGAGATTCTCCTGCCTCTGCCTCTCAAGTGGGAAATAATGTATTTTTAAGCAACCCATACTACTTTCTTTCACTGTGATGTGGATGTAGTCCCTTCAAGGACATACCCTTAAGAAACAAGGCCTAAATTGTATTTCCTTGGCCTTAATTAGACAAGGGCATTGGTGAGCATGACAGATTGTGTGATGGATGTTCTTGCTGCTTTTCAGTGACACAGAGCAACCTGCACCCATGGAAGAGATCTCAATGATGGAGGAGTCCCAGGGCGCCCTGGATGAGGAGTCTCTAGCCAAGTAGGCAGCTGCTTCTTATGCCTATGGGTTATCTTTTCTAATGATTATTATTATTTTTTTTTTTTTTTTTTTGTTTTTCGAGACAGGGTTTCTCTGTAGCTTTAGAGCCTATCCTGGACTAGCTCTGTAGACCAGGCTGGCCTCGAACTCACAGAGATCCACCTGCCTCTGCCTCCCGAGTGCTGGGATTACAGGCGTGCACCACCACCGCCCGGCCTCTAATGATTATTAATGATTCATTGTCTCTTTTTCTTTCTCTAAGATTGGACATTATGTTTATTTAGCACAAAGTCCTGCCGGTGGGTTTGTGTGTGTGTGTGTGTGTGTGTGTGTGTGTGTGTGTGTGTGTGTGTGTGTGTGTGTATAGGGGTGCTTGTGTGAACATGGAGGCCAGACCAGGGTACCAGATGTCTTCCTCTGTGGTTTTGTACCTTATTGCCTTGAGGCAGGGTCCCTCAAAAAATGAAAGCTCCCCATCTCAGCTAAGTTGACTAGCCAGGGAATTCTTAGGATCCTCCTGTCTCCACTCCACAGTGCTGGGATTTATATACATACCCAGCTAAGCCTGGCTTTTTATGTGGGTGTTGGACATTCACACTCTGGTCTTCATGTTTGCAGTACAAGTACTCTCAAAAAAAAGACAGTGTCTCTCTGTAGCTTAAGTTTTCCTGCCTGGCCCACAGTCAGGACAAATCTCTATCACCTGCCAGTCCCACAGCCCCTCAGACCCAACCAAGTAAACACAGAGACTTATATTGCTTACAAACTGTATGGCCGTGGCAGGCTTCTTGCTAACTGCTCTTACAGCTTAAATTAATCCATTTCCATTAATCTATACCTTGCCACATGGCTCGTGGCTTACCGGCATCTTCACATGCTATTTGTCATCATGGCGGCTGGCAGTGTCTCTCTGACTCAGCCTTCCACTTCCCAGCTTTATTCTCCTCCTTGTCCCGCCTACACTTCCTGCCTAGCCAATGGCCAATCAGTGTTTTATTTATTGACTAATTAGCAACACATTTGCCATACAGAACATCCCACAGCACTTCCCTTTTTTTTTTTTTTTTCAAATGGAAGGTTTTAACCTTAACAAAGTAAAATTACATATAATTTGGGAATTTGGGCGTAGCTTCTCTTACTACTTCCTGCTGGAGGGGGGCGCTGTATCTTATGGGGAAACAAAGAAAATTTTAGGATTATGGAATAGTCCATGAGGCTGTATTGTCTGAGCCAGTTGCCTTCAAACGATTCTGGATGTTGGATCATCTGGGCCATGGTGTCATCGGAGACTTTCAGGGGGTCTTGGCTGGTCAAACCTGATGTATCTTAATCTTGAACAAATCCATAGCCTCTGGCTCTCTGTGGAAACAAAAGAGACTCTTTTCCAAAGCAACATATCCTTATATCCAAATTTTGAAGTCAAGGTACCTTTAAAGTATACATTTTGACATAACTCAACAGCTTTTACAATCAAATGTTTTTCTGCAGTTAAAAGTCCCAAAGACAACACAATCCAGATTCTCTGTGTAATATCCATTTTTACGTGGCTTATTTTTTATACTACCTTTACTGTCTCTTTAAAGACTTTATTTTTTAAAACTATGTATTTGTTTCTATAACTCTATATATCATCTTTTTTTGTCTCTTTCAAGTCTACGTATCTTTTACACACATTGTAAACTATTACATCTGAATCTGTCTTATTGTGAATCTATTGCCTTAAACTGCAGCAGCTGTGGCTGCTGGCTCCGCCCACCTCACCTTCCCAGCATGGCTACATTTACCACCAGCTCTGGGAGCTATCGTGGGTCTATGCTTTTATCCAAGCAGCGTGTAGTCCAGAAACCTCTTTTTTTGTTTTGTACTAGCAAAGTCTAAATCCACCACGCAGCTTAATGTGCCACTTGCAGAGGCCTCATTCCCGCCATACTGCAGGTCCAGCATACAAGCTAGGAACCCACCAGTAGCTCAAACCAGCAGCTGCTGCTCATTTGAGAGAGAGAATTAGGAAGCTGTTTTTAGCTCTGTTTTAGAATCTTTTTTCAGGTTTTAGGTGGAAACTCTTGCCACCACGTTGGACGCCATATGTAGCTTAAGTTTTCCTGCCTGGCCCACAGTCAGGACAAATCTCTATCACCTGCCAGTCCCACAGCCCCTCAGACCCAACCAAGTAAACACAGAGACTTATATTGCTTACAAACTGTATGGCCGTGGCAGGCTTCTTGCTAACTGCTCTTACAGCTTAAATTAATCCATTTCCATTAATCTATACCTTGCCACATGGCTTGTGGCTTACCGGCATCTTCACATGCTGTTTGTCATCATGGCGGCTGGCAGTGTCTCTCTGACTCAGCCTTCCACTTCCCAGCTTTATTCTCCTCCTTGTCCCGCCTACACTTCCTGCCTAGCCAATGGCCAATCAGTGTTTTATTTATTGACTAATTAGCAACACATTTGCCATACAGAACATCCCACAGCATCTCTCTATGTAGCCCTGGTGTCCTATAACTCTCACTATGCAGACCAGGCTGGCCTTGAACTTACAGAGCTCCACTTGCCTCTGCCCCTAGTGCTGGGATGAAAGGTGCACACCACATACCTAGCTGGAGCAAGCACTCTTAATGGTTTTAGAAGCTGAGCCACTTCTCATATCATACTGGGTTGATCTTGTTTGTTAATGCATAATGATCAAACTAGTTACTTTAAGTAATCTGATAGGTTTTTTAAAAAATGAGAATAGATGAAATTCAAGTGTGGTGCCTCTGCCCCTTGACCTCTTCTGTCTTGCTTTTTTCCCATGAAGACTGGGTCTCTGGTCCATACCTAGCACACTGAAGCTTTAAGCCTCCTTTCCCTGTGAATGAGCCAGGGTGCTAGCCACTGAACTCTTAGGATCCTCCTGTCTCCTCCTAGACAACTCCTCATTCAGCCTTCTCCCTACCGGAATCCACAGCCAAGCAAGTCACAAGGCAGGGTAACTGGAACCTTTGAAAGGTTTTTGTTCTTGTTTGGTTTGGTTTTATTTTTACCATTACTGTGTGTGTGTGTGTGTGTGTGTGTGTGTGTGTGTGTGCATGCATTGTATGTGCATGTGGAGGTCAGAGAAGAACTCTGTAGAGTTGGTTCTCTCCTCCCTCCTTTATGTGAATTCCAGGGATCAATTCCAGGTCACTAGGCGTGTGTAACAAGCACTGTACCCACTGAGCCCTCTCTCCAGCCCTCTGTAACACTGATTGCTAGAACTCTGAGATGAGCAGTCAGTACTGTCCAGCATCTCAATGACATGGATTCTTCAAAGCCTCGACAGTGCTTTCCAATAGCTGCCATACCTCAGAGAAATGCAGTGCCCTAGATGGGAAGTCGGTGGTCTTCCCATTCTCAGAGACATGCCCTGAGCCTCTTTTCCTCGTGGCAGAACACAGTGCCATCTCTTCTCCCACCTCTCACAGTTTTGAGTCTGTTCCCACTGATTTCCTCAAACTGTCAGTTTGTTCCTTTCTTCTTCCCCAACTCTGGTCTTCTGCACATTTTATGTGTGCACTCTCATACTGAAGTCTGTCTCCTCTTGACCCTGCACTGTGCCATGTTCATTTCCGCTCCTGTTGTTTGAACTCTGGACCTGCCTCCTGTTGTCATTACCCTCTGAGTACTTCTCCAGTGTCTCCAGGCTTCATGCCATTTCGTTCTGGATCGATGTTGATTTCAGCTCAGGTGGGTCTCTGGCTCATTGGCTCACTGTGCTCTGGTTTCCCTCTGCCTTGAACATCTCCTTTGCAACTCATTACGGTTTTGCCTCAGGCCTCTTCTCTTTTTCTGAGTCTTTATGGGATCTTTAAGCCTGCTGCTTAAATTGTCATGTATGTGTTGACACCAGAATACAGATCTTTGGCTTCATCCTTCAATATGAGGTCTGTGTATCTGTCTCCTGCATACCTTCCCCAGCATCCCCCTTGCTTTGCATGTTCAGCAGGACTGAAATGCTTGCTTCCGCACAAACGTCTGGCCTCACCAGGTGTCTCTGTCTTCTGGAACAGCATTATCACCCATCAACTTCCACAAATGAAAGCTTAGAAGTCTCCCTTGGAAGTCCTGTTTTCAGTCCTCTCCCACCCCCAAATGCAGGCTTCACTCTGCCTCTAACTGTTCACCATCTCTGTCACCAGCACAGCCTGAGCTTCCTTTGTCCAGTTGTTGCTGCAGCTCCTGATGGCCTCTGTATTCTCATCTGCACCAGAGTGGCTCTTACACTAGCATGCCGAGTATCATGTCCTCTGACCCCTTAAAGACCCTCTCCAGTGGCTTCCTGGTCCTACTCTGCTCTTACCCTGATGTGCACAGTCCTGCATGGCCTGGCCCCTCTGGGACCCTCAAGTTTGACTAATCTTTTGCCTTCCCGGGATTCATTTTGTGGCCCCTACTTCATGTTTCTGAACATACCTTATCCTCACCTCACTGGCAATTGTAAGCTTGCTTGCTTGTGTGTTTGCTGAATTCTTGCTCTCTACCCTGCTGCTGGCTCTCCTTTACACACCCTTCGGCTGCTAGAGTAGACTGAGCCAGTTTGATCAAGTTATTTAATCTACCCTCATTTGTAAAATGGAGATAAAAGGCTGCCCACAGCATGGAGTTGTGAAGATTGTGTTGTGTGCACAGCTATGTTCATATCCACAAGTGGAAGAGAGAGGAAGGGGGCACCTAGAGTGGAGCCCAGAACTTGGTTGCTATGTAAGTATCTACAAGTATCATCTTGGCTTCTTACAAGAGTGACAGTGACTGATAGTTGTGACAGCTGTGAATTTACTGCTCAAAACAATTAAGAATGTGTTTTTAAAATAGGATTCATAGTTAATGTGCCTATTTAGACAGTGTGTTAACTAAAGAGATAGACGCATAATTTCTATGAGCTGGGAAAGTGAATTATGTAGGAATCTTCAGGGAAAAATTGTTTGAGGCAGTAAACGTTTGTGCATGTTTGGGTGCACTAAGGTTGAAAACCAACAAGCTTCATCATCCTCATTGACAGAATGAAGACACTGTGGCATTCCTAGATTAGACAAAATAAGGTGGACTATAACATTGGAGGCGGCTGAGCAAGGCTGCCCACCATGCCTTTCTGTGTGGACTGGCTGAATGTGAAACCGCTGTGGGAATTGCAGGTGCTGCCCCACAGAGCAGCCGTGTTGGCCAGTGTTGAGAAGCTCTTGTTTCTTTGGCCCTGTCAGACTTCAAGACCACAGAAATCCCTCATAGCAATGTGTCGTTCGCAGCTCTGGCTGACTGATCTGACATGGGAGCTTTCAGGATTAAGCCATAGTGGACCTTCTGTTCACCTCTTAGGCTTAGAACTTCTTGATGGAAGAGCTTAAAGTCCTGTACACCAGTGTTTTAGAGCACAACCTGAAACACATACTTATTCTTCCAACTGAGCCAGTTTCCTGGTGTGTTATACCCTCCCTCGCCTTGCTTCATGGCAGCAGCTGAAGTGTTTCTCATCACAGTGCTCTGATGTTTGAGGGCGTCTGCCACTCTGACTGCCTTGTCTCTGAGTTTGCTGCTTTTGAAGAGCTCATAGAAGTGGAACCTTACACAGAAAAGAGAAAACACATTGGCTTATTTGACTTTTCATCACGTTTCCAAATTTCTGTCATGTTATGACCTGTATTAATTAATTTTGTTTTTTTAAGACACGGTTTCTCTGTGTAACAGCCCTGGCTGTGCTGGAACCCACTCTAGAGACCAGGCTGGCCTCAAACTTAGAAATCCACCTGCCTCTCCCTTCTGAGTGCTGGGATTGAAGGCATGTGCCACCATGCCCAGCCTTTATTTTATTTTTATTTTTTTAAAGATTTATTTATTATGTATATAGTGTTCTGCCTACAGGCCAGAAGAGAGCATCAGATCCCATTATAGATGGCTGTGAGCCATCATGTGGTTGCTGGGAATTGAACTCAGGACCTCTGGAAGAACAGTCAATGCTCTTAACCTCTGAGCCATCCCTTCAGCCCCTTTATTATTTTTTTTAATCCCATATTTTGCTTATCTGTTTGTCAGATGATAGATACACAGGTAGTTTCTAGTTTGAGACTGCTCTGTGTAGTACCACTGTGAACATTCATGTCTGTGTTCTGATATGGATGCATGTTCTTATTTCTCTCAGGTGTGAAATTACTTGGTCATATAAGAGCTCTGTCAGAAAAAATTTTTTTGAGACAAGATCTCTCTATGCAGGCTGTCCTGTAACTTGCTGTGTAGCCTCAGCTGTCTTGGAACTCCCTATGTAGACCAGGCTGGCCTCAAACTTAAGAGATCCGCTTGCCTCTGCCCCCCAGTGCTGGGTGAGCCACCGCACCTGACTGTCAAATTTGAAGACCCACCAGGCTGTTTTCTAAATTGACACACCACATTCCCCCAGCAATATACCTGGATTCCAATTTTTGACATCCTTGTCAACACTTGTTAAATGCCTTTAAAGACACCTTTTTTCTTTTTTAAAATTTTTATTTATTTTATATGCATTGGTATTTTGCCTGTGTGAGGGTGTCCAGTCCCTTGGAACTATAGTTACAAACAGTTGTGAGCCACCATGTGGGTGCTGGGAATTAAACCTGAGTCTTCCTTAAGAATAGTCAGTGTTCTTAACCTCAGAGCCATGTCTCCAGCCCCCACCTTTTTTCTTTTTAAGAAAAATAGTTATTTTTATATGTGTGAGTGCTTTGCCTGCCTGCATGAATGTATGTATGTATACTACATAAGTGCCTGGTGCCCATGGGGTCCAGAAAAGAGCTTTGGGTCCCCTGGAATCAAGCTGCAGCTAGTTGTGAGTCACTAAGTGGGTGCTAAGACCCCAACCAGGTCTTCTGCAAGAGCCCCAAGTGCTCTGATGAACCATCTCCAGCCCTAAGTGCCTTTTTGACACTAGCTGTCCTGTTAGGCGTGGAATGGTGTAACTGCTTGTGGTCTGAGCCGGCCTTCTCTGATGACTAATGATACTGGACATTTGGAAAGTCTTATAATGTGTCTATTTTGCCTGCACGTGTATGTGCATGCAGTTCCTTTGGAAGCCAGAAGAGGGTACAAGATGCCCTGGAACTGGTGCTGTAGGTGATGGGGATTTGGACTTGGGTCTTTGTGCTTCCAGAGCAAGCTACCTCCTAGCCTGTTTTAAACATTTTAAATTGTTAACTAGGATGGGGATAGAACACTTGTTCAACACATGTGAGCCCCTGAGCTCCACCCACAACACTCCAAAAAAGTCTACAATAAAAAACCTTACTCAAAGCTTAGTCATAGAAGAGAGTAAAATATGAACAATTTTCAACGGGTTCTCATGATGAAGTTATCAGACAAATGTGGAAATAAGCATGAAATATAATGAGGTCCATAAGAAAACCTATACGTATAATGTGACCAAAAATAGTTTTGGCATAATGAGGAAGAGGGTTTGGAGCATGGGCCTGGAGAGAGTCTGAAATATTCGATTGCTTTTAGAACCAACTGAGGGGGATATTATCAAAATGTACATTTGTGACCCATTGCTTTAAGACTGGTTTCCTATGACTTTGTGTCCACAGCATCTCTTACTTTTCATATATTTCAAATATCATATTGTCTGTCCATCTGCCTTCAGAAAAGGTGCACGATGGTGTAACTGATGGAAATGGCATGGGGTGGTAACGTTGTTTTCACAGACTACTGTTTGTAGTGAGGATAGAGTAGGATGGTAAAGATAAAACTCAGGAGAGGTGACTCCAAGGGTCTGGGTTACTTTTAACCGTGTATTTCTGACACAGTGCTACAAAAGTATAACTTTTTTTTTGTAGACATTTGGTCCCATTGGCCAAAAAATTTCTCTGTTGTAATGTACCTTTACAGAGTTCCTGAGTTGGAGGTAGAAGAGGAAAATCAAGTCCAAGAGATGACCTTAGATGAGTGGAAAAACCTTCAAGAGCAAACCAGACCAAAGCCTGAGTTCAACATCCGGAAGCCAGAGTCCACAGTTCCTTCCAAGGCAGTGGTGATTCACAAGTCCAGATACAGAGACGATGTAAGCCTCTGTTTTGGGGGAATCTGCACCAAAGTACTCCTCTCTCAGTGGATGTGAAAACAGAACCTTGCTACCACCACCACCACCACCACCACCACCACCATCACACACACACACACACACACACACACACACACACACACACACACACACACACACACACACACACACCCTGGCAAAAAAAAATTCATTGTATGTGGGTGGTGTGCATGTGGAGGTCAGAGGATAACTTGCGGTTCTCAGAAATAGAACTGAAGTCGTCAGGCTTGGTACTCTCTTAGCCATCTTGCTAGCCTTCTACGTGGCATTCTTGTTTCTGCTTAAGCATCATCAAGGATGATGAAAAGGAATAGAACTTGGTGTGTTGACAGAATACTGTACATTCTCTGCTAGCCTTGAAAGTAAGCCAGGAAGACACAAGTGCCAAAGTCTCTTAGTGAGAGGCACAGAGCAGCCATTTCAAAGGTTACTGACTTTGTATTTTGATGATTAGATTGCCATCCTCTACAGTTCCTTTGTTTTAGACAAAGTCTTTAGTATGTAGCCTGGTCTGGCCTCACACTCTCCATCCTCCTCCTTCATCATCCTGAGGGCCAGGATTAGATGTGTGCACCACCACAGTCCTTATCTTCCACTCTTATTCATGATGAGCATTGCATTGGGTCAGTTGATCAGTTGAAGCCGTACCTGGGAACCTATATTCTGTGATCCCTTTGTTACAGTATTTTAACAGCACTGCTCCCTCTGTCTAGCTCTAGAAACTGCTGAGAAACTCCTACATTGATGATGGCATGGTCAGCACCATGCTGCAGCCATCTGTGCTGAGGGCATTATCAAGGACTTATGTGTTGTGCAGGCCTTATTCTTCATGTTTTCTGTCTAGCTCTGTCCGTGTGTGTGTGTGTGTGTGTGTGTGTGTGTGTGTGTGTGTGTGTGTGTGTGTGTGTGTATGTGTATGCACACTTGCTCATGAGTCTATCACTCTCTACTAACTCTCTACTTTGTTTTTTGAGACAAGGTCTCTCGGTGAACCTGGGACTCACCAATTCAACTAGACTGGCTAGTAAGCTCCAAGAATCCTGTCTCTGTCTCCCCGGTGTTGGGTTTATTGATGTGCACTGCCACACTCAGCTTTTTACATGAGTGTTGGGGATCCAAACTCAAGTCCTCATGCAAGTACTTTACAGTGTGGCTGTGCCTTCCCAACCCAGCATTGGGCTTTTACCAGATGCCTGGACAGAGATGCTCCAGGGAAATATCAGTTTGTAATGACAAGTCTGATCACTTATTACCTTCTTTTTGTTTCTGAACCTAAAGGAACACTGAATTGCCCAAGTGTAGAATTTAGAATTCCTGTTGTTCAGTCACAGCACAAAAAACAGTGCAGATTGTGGTGATGAGCAAAATCATCCTCCCTGCTGGATATGACTTGATGACTTCCAGTCAGTTCAGAACACTGTAGTTTTGTCCGTTTCTCTGTTAGTCAGATTTCCAGTGCTGTGATACTTATATGCCTGAGATCACTTATAATGAGAAAAGTTTTGGTTCAGCCTCAGGTTGTGTGGCCCCAAAATGCAAGCAGATGGCTGAAAACCATATTTGCTTGCCTCACTGTGGCTGAAAAACAGACAGGAAGGAGCTGAAGTCCTGATGATGTCTCCATCCAGGACACAGCCCAATGACCCACTTCCTCTTACCATGCCCCACCTCCTCAAGATTCCACCACCTGCCAAGACCACACAGGTGGGTACACAGGCCTTTATTTATAAGTCCTTTGCAATCCAAGTCATAGCAATTTGCATGTGCACTTTGGTGAGTTATGTTCTTTGAATACTTTATTTAGAAGGCTATTGATGACATAGTATATCCACTCTGCCTCCTGTTTTGGTCAGCTCAAAGTCTAAGACACTTTACTAATAAGTTTCGATAGATATGGGAGGCCGGAGATAGCTAAATAGGCAGCATGTCTTTTGTTGTTCTTTTCTGTTGTGAACAGTAGAAATAAAGCTTCCTGTGAATCCACTGTGCTGTAAAGCTGGGGAACAGTTAAAAATAGAAGCTGATTCCTCAAACCACATCAGATTCCTCTTCCCTGGCTGCCGAGATCTGTTGGAATATTTGATGTAACTAAGTTAGCTGAGTCATTGAGCTTGGTTAGTTTGGTTTCAATAAAGTAAATGTCTTTGGTCCTTGTTAATCTGGCATTGCAGAATTTAGCCAGGGATTGTTCTTAAAGCAACATGAGTCAAATCTTGGGGTTGCTAATTTACTTTGTTTTTTGGTGCCTTAAGAGACCTCCCACCAGAAAAGCCCTAGAATAATATGTAACATGAATCTTAAATGGTCTTAATAAAAAACTCAGGAGCCAGGTATTGGAGTGAAAGCTGGAAGATCAGAGAGACAGAACAAGCCAACCTCACCTCGCCAGTTTCTCAGCTTCCAAAGACAGCGACTTCCTGTCTACCCAGGCTTATATGTCTTCTTGTTTTGCCATCTGATTTGCTGTCTAGCTACATCGCTTCCTCTTCCTGGCCAGCTCTGTGACTTCTATCTGTACAGGCCTCCAGAACTCTATGGTTGGTACTGGGATTAAAGGCATGTGTCACCATGCTTGGCTGTGTTCCCTAGTGTGGCCTGGAACACACAGAGATCCTGCCTGCTAAGTGAGAGGATTAAGGGCCTGTGCTGCCTGACTTCTTTGTTTACTTAAAATGGCTTGCTCTTTCCTCTGATCTTCAGGCATACTTGATTTATTAAAGCACAAATAAAATATCACCACAATAATATGTATTGTTTGTGTGCAAATTCAACCTCAAGCAGCTCAATAATGAGCACTTTGACTAGATCAGTAGCTGAGAGGAGCCCAGGCCTCACACTTGCTGTGTGTGGGGTGGCCTTGGGCCGCAGTCACTTCCTTCTAGGACATGCTGATAGCCAAATGTTTTCTGAGTCGGGCAGTTCATTATTTTGTCTCTTATGTCTTCGTGAGTCCCACTTGTTCTTTCCTTCACCAATTTAGGTTCAAGGGTCCATTGACCTCAAACTTCTGCTTTTAATTAGTAAGTCTGAAGGGGTGTTTGATCCTATATTGAACATACAGCCCAAGGAAGTTTTTCTGTTTTCTGGCCAGTTCATAGGAATGTTTCGCTCTTGTCTGCTTTTGTGCATCTGTGGGCAGTGTATACATGTGTGGGAATGGGTGTGTACATTTGTGTGCAGATGCACTTGCCCTCATGAGAATGTGTGGAGGCCAGGGGGTGGAGTATCTTCCTCATTCACTCTCTACCCACTACCTTTTCTTTTTTCTTTCGAACAGCATCTGTCCCTGAACCTGGAGCTTGTCAGTTTGGCTAGCCTGGCTGGACAGTGAGCTCTGGATCTCCTGTCTTCACCCTGCAGGGCTAGATCACGGTGTATGCCACAGGTCCTCATGTTTGCACAAGTGCTTTAGGGACCGACCCATTTCCCAAGCCATCTGATCACTGACCCCGTTTTCACTTCTGAAGGCTTAGCGTTCACTTGAGGGGTTTTGGTTTATCTAAGATTATGAGTTGAAGTCATAAGACTTATTTATTGTAATTTTTTTTTAATCATAGGAAGAACTTACTTGGGCTTCTTAAAATGCAAAGAATTTTAAGAAGAGCCACTGCTGAAAGTGGTTTGAGCTAAAGCCAGCCATAGTGGCACATGCCTTTGATCCCAGCATACTGAAGGTGTGCGAATCTCTGAGTTGAGACCAGTTTGGTCTCCATAGTGAGTTCCAGGACAGCCATGGCTACACAGAGAATCCCTGTCTCAGAAAACAAAACAAAAAAGTGGCGTGAGATCTCTGTGCAGCATGGCAGTGATGCTTACATGACTGTGTTCTGCTCTGTGGAATTCCCACACATGGCATGTGGATGGCAGCATCCACACCTACACAGAAAGGAATTTCCCCATCAAGTTCAATTCCTGGAAGGCGATATTTTCATATCTGTCTACGTAAACAGAAGATAAGCAGAAATTAAAACTTTTTTTTTTAAGCCGGGCGGTGGTGGCGCACGCCTTTAATCCTAGTACTCAGGAGGCAGAGCCAGGAGAATCTCTGTGAGTTCGAGGCCAGCCTGGGCTACCAAGTGAGTTCCAGGAGAGGCGCAAAGCTACACAGAGAAACCCTGTCTCGAAAAAAAAAAAAAACAAAAAAAAAAAAAACTTTTTTTTAACCTCAAACACATTTGAAACATGCTAGTAAAATCTTACATCTTAACCTGCCTAGACTGGGGTTTGTTGTTGTTTTTTATTTTGAGACGGGGTCTTACTATGTAGCTCTGGTTGTCCTAGAACTCACTATGTAGACCAGGATGGCCTCAAACACAGAGATCCACTGCTTCTGTTTCCTGAGTGCCAGGATTAAAGACATGAGTCATCACACCCAACAGGATTTTGGTTTTACTTGAAGTAATAGTAAATTTAAAGATGTTTGGATGAAGACGAAGTAGGATCCCATGCTTATATTCCTAGTACTTGGGAGACTGAGGGCAAGAGGATCACCATAAGTTCCAGGTCAGCCTGAGGTACACAGTTTTGCTTGTATTAGACCAGTATCTGGTGTCCAGCCCAGCTGCTCAGGGCTGGGACACATCCAGGGTCTTCCTAGTCCACAGGGTCACACAGGCCACCAGTGCAACACATTAAAAATGTTCATTGCTAGGACCCCGGCTGTGGGACTGTGGAAATGCCCATGCATGTGCCTGTCTGACCTGGTACTGTGTTTCAGATGGTGAAGGATGATTATGAGGATGAGTCCCATGTCTTCCGGAAAGCCGCTAATGACATCACTTCCCAGCTGGAGATTAACTTTGGTAACCTCCCTCGCCCTGGACGGGGAGCCAGAGGTAGTACCCGAGGAGGACGAGGAAGGATCAGAAGAGCAGAGAACTATGGCCCCAGAGCAGAAGTGGTGGTAAGTGGCTGCATTCTAAGTCCTGATGGCTTCTGAAGGACAGGGCGACTGCTCTACAGTGGTCTGGTCTGGGGCCGTTTGGAGCTGTGTCACCTTATCTGACATAAGTCACATAATTCCTGTAGTACTGGCCCCAGTGACTAAATCTGCATAAAACAAGATCCCTGGGCTTGAGGTGGATTCAGGCCATAGACAGCAGCTTATTAACCATCTGTGTACCCTCTGCTGGAACAGTACCATCAGGATAGTCTTTCCAACCCTAGGGACCTTGTGACCAGCTGCCCCCCTGCCTTACACTGCTCAGCTACTGCTGCTCTTTGAACAGCAGGCCACACCCCAGACCCCCAACTATGCGCCTTTCTTTGCCCCCTTTTTTGTTTTTTCCACCGGCCAATCTCAAGTCTGCACTTTTATCCATGGCACCCCTCCCAGAGCAGTCAAGGTCTTTGAGCAGAGGCTTTTCCTTCCTCCGAGTCCTTTCTTCCTGCTGTGTCTCCTACTGCATGATCACCCGTCAGTGCTGCACTCTCCGTTGGACGGAAGGAACACCTCACTTAGTGTTGGCTCCTGAGCATGTACATAATCTCTTACCCACCAGGAGGCTATAGCCAGCCCAGCCCCAGCTGGTCTCGGGTCCTTTTGCTGCCCACCTCCCATGTGCTGGGATTAAGGGCCTGTAGCTTATTAACACACAAAAATGACTTTCTTCCATAGACACTTGAAGTCAGGGACAAAAAAAAAAATGTCCTTTGAACAACACACATCCACTCCTGCTGAGCAACATAAGCCACAGTGCAGCCCTGGTAACCCCACTGCAAACCCATGCTGCTGCTCTAGTCTCCCTCATGCAGGCCACAGGTGTCACATCCGTCCCTGCCCTATGCTGAGGCTCATCTCAGGGAGAACTCTTTTCAGAAGACCTTGCTTGGTATTGGACTTCTGCCTGTGACTTAAGTTCCCCACTTCATGTTTTTCCCCAGAACTTGAGCTCTGTGTAGGAAACTGCGTGAATTCATTCTTGCTTACTTTGGGTACCTAGCATGTAGTAAGCAGTTACTTTTTAGGTTTATTTTATGTGTATGTATATGAGTATTTTGCCTTTATGTATGTGTGTGTGCACCACCTGTATGCTTGGTGCCCTTGAAGGCCAGAAGAGGGTATTGAATCCTCTGGAATTGGAGTTACAGATGACTGTGAGCTATCATGTGAATGCTGAGGATCAAACCCTGGTCCTCTGGAAGAGCAGCCAGTGTTCTTACCCACTGAGCCAACTCTCCAGCCCTAAACAGTTATTTACTGGGACAAGAAAGTGTCAGCTCCAGAGGGAAAAAAGGAAGACAGCTCCTGACAGTGGCCCTATTGAGATGACTTAGGGAGTTATCTAGACAAGCCCTTTAGCATTTCTGGACACAGCTAGAACTGGAGCTGTTCATTTAAAGCAGTCACAGCCACTGTGGCTCCATCATTTCCTCCCTGGGCTATGAGGGGTGGGATGGGGCCACCTGGGCCACACAGTCAGGGATCTAATGCTGGCCATGGCTGGGTGGGGGAAGGGCAGTCAATTTAAAACCTCTCTTTTCTTTAGACACAAGATGTCGCTCCCAACCCAGATGACCCTGAGGACTTCCCCGCCCTGGCCTAACAGACATTCCCCTGCAGCAGAGCAGCACTATGAAGAGACTTTCCTTGCCTGGAGAAGAGTCAGACTCTAAGAACAGTAGATGTTGCTTTTCCTGTGTCGTGTGAACTTGTTGCACTTTCTTACTTTGTGGGATGTTGAGTGCAGGTTCCTATGAGGGTCAGGCACTTCCCACAGATGAATGGAGACTTTTGTAAGGAATAATGTTTAGAATGTGTACATAGATTCTAACAGTTCCACCACAGAAGCTCAGAGTAAAGTAAATCAGAAAGTAGAACTGCTGGGCACGGTGGTGCATGCCTTTAGACTCAGCAAAAAAGAACCACCACCACCTATTGAGATGACTTAGGGAGTTATCTAGGCAAGTCTTTTAGCATTTCAGGACACAGGTACAACTGGAACTGTTCACTCAAAGCAGTCACAGCCTAGTGTTCATACCATTCCCCTATAATGGTTCAGTTTTGCTGAAGATTCCAACTTTAAACTGTCATTGTGCACCAGTAACAGCCACTCTGTCAGGCAGAGGAAGTACTGGCTTTCAGTGGTGATCTAAACTACCTCGTGGTACGTGTCTGTGCGCACATCCTTATTTAGTGTATGTGTGCATACTTAGTGCTCAGATGGTTGTTAAGTATGATTTAAAATTGTGTTATTTAACTCACTAATCAAATGAAAAGGCTTCCTGGTACATGTATTTTTTTTTCTTTCTTAAAACTAGTGTCACCAGGCAGTGGTAGTGCACACCTTTAGTCCCAGTACTCAGGCAGAGGCAGGCAGATTTCTGTGAGTTTGAGGCCAGCCTGGTTTACAGAGCAAGATCCAGGACAGCCAGAACTCCATAGTGAGACTCCATCACAAAAACAAACAAGAGAACTACTATCAAAATTCAGTACTGTTACTCTGAGCAGACTGACTTTTAACTCAAACCCATTTACCAACTGCGAACACCATGGACAGGCTCATCCCCTGGGCCGTGCCCCAGGTCCTGTGTTGCTCTGGTGGAGGTTAGGGATCACCTTGGAGGCTCAGTCACTCAGCTTGGAGTCCCACCCCAACAGCTTGAGACCTAGGGCCAAGCTATGAATCCACTGGCAAAACCAAAGAAGAGTCATTGTGTGGGGGAGGGACCTGCCAAGTTATTTATTGGATAGCTGTAGAGATGGGGAGGGAGGCTGGCCTGGTTTGCTTATGATGGAACCTTGCTCCTAAGACCTGTGCTCTCCCCACTGGGCCACGTAGTCTTAGATAGTACTGAACTGGAACCCAGGTATAAATGAAGGTTGGTGTTCCCTCTGAACTTTGTATAAAAACTGAACTCTTGGGGTTTGGTTGAATCATCAAAGTTGAACCTCTAGACATGTTACTACCAAGGATGTTTGCTTTGGGTGCCCTCCTGCTTCTGATCCCATGTTTATTAAATCAATGAGTACAAAGGTATATTAACTGACTGCCTTGTTCATTCCTTTTCCCTGGGGCTAGCACACTGCTTGCAAGTACTGTGGTCTGACTGCATTGATTTTAGTCATGATCATTGCTGGGGCACGGTCCCATGAAGTCCTCCCTTGGCTTTGAAGGTTGACAAAGCAAGGCTTTCTGTTAAGAACATTCCCATTTGAGTTGTGAATGACACTGGGAAAGCTTGTAGCCATGCTGCCTCGAGTCATATGGTTAGACCACAGGCAACCCTGCTTGCTGTAAATTTTTGTACAGAGGCCACCTTGCTGATTTGATGGGGCAAGTGGATATAATTTTTGCTTGTGTCCAGGTCACAGCCTGAGTGTTCCAGAGAAGATAGCAGGACTCAAGTCAAGGGCAGAGAAATCCATTAGCAAGATCATTCTGTAGGCCCTAAGCTCAAAGTTGCCTGCCAGACTCCTTTGAGGGGCTGGGTGCTAGATATGTAATGAAGTGGGCAGGTGCTTCTGGCTGGTATTTAACCACACCAAAGAAACCTCGTCTCTTAGAAGTGGGAGACCAGTCAGAGGTGGCCTGTGTGTGTCACTTCTGAAAGCAAGTGGTTTCAGGCATCTGAGTTGAGGGCCCATAGCTGTCAAACAGCCTGGTCTACAGAGTGAGATCCAGGGACAGGCACCAAAACTACACAGAGAAACCTTGTCTCGAAAAACCAAAACAAACAAACAAAAAAAACCTGGCCAATAGCAAGGCAGGAGAAAGGACAGGCAGGGCTGGCGAGCAGACAGTATATATAGGAGAAAACTGATAGGAGAGATCTAAGATTCTAAGATTTAGGAGCCAGAGAAAGAGGAGGACTCCAGGGGCCAGCCACCCAGCTACACAGCAAACCATGGATTAAGAGTAAGATTTACAGAAGTTAGAGAACGGGAAAAGCTCAGAGACAAAAGGTAGATGGCATAATTTAAGAAAAGCTAGCTAGAAACTAAGCCAAGCTAAGGCCGGGCATTCATAAGTAATAATAAGCCTCCGTGTGTGATTTATTTGGAAGCTGGGTGGCGGGCCCCCCAGAAGAGAGCAAAACCCCCAACAACAGGGCACTTGTGAACCAGAAGCTGCGGCTGTGCTAGGGACGTCTGCTGCAAGGGCTTCCTTCCTGGACACTTGGCCAGACACACACTCTCCTGACAGGGCTTAGTTCTTCATGTGGTGCAGACAGGACTGCAAGAGCCAGACCGCCTCAAGGTGGACAAACTGACCATACCCTCTTGTGAACATGTGCTGTCCACTGCAGGCTTACCATGCAGTACTGTGAGGAGAGGCAAGGTCTGCCCATTTCTCTTCCTGCTACTGCTGCCTCCCAATCAGCTTCCTGGGAGGATCGACCTCCCAGGGTCCAATCTAATCTCACTGTGGCCCTAGGCACAACCCAAGGGACAATCCTGAGTAGACCTTGAGCACTGACAGCTTGACTGGGCACTGCCCTGTAGTCACCTTTGTTTTTAAGAAGAATAAACCAGGTCACCTGAAACCTTCCTTAAATGCAGAACTCTTGATGACCAGAGTCCACACCGAGACACCTTCCCTCAGCTGTGCTGTCCCTTCTCCCTCAAGGCATCATATCCTGACCCACCAGAACCACTACTGAGTACACCTCAGACCCACAGGCATGGGGCCACCACCATGCTCCAGCTGTACCTTCTCCTGGGCACCTGGGCATCTCTGAAGTCTGAAGGATGGATGGCCCTTCTGCTTGTGCCATTAGTGTGGGTTGTCTTAAAGGAGGACAGTGCCCTGTAGGTGCCTGGTTACCCACAGTCGGTTAACCAGAGATGGGAGGAGCCCGAGGCAGATAAAGGCCCTGTTCCCTGAGCCCAATGTCCTTTCTAGGCACTGTAATTGAAAGACAGAGCCATGTGTACCTCACTGGGACATAGGAATCTATGGAGTATTTGTGGCATATTTTTAGCTACCCCAAGGGCCACCACCAGAGAGGTACTAGGGTAGTCTAGGGGCTAAGGGAGAGCTCAGGCTCAAGGTCCTAGTAGCTCCTGCTGCCTCAGCCCCATCCATCTCTGCCAGTCTCCTGCTCCAAAACCACCTGCTCAGGCCACAGGCTGCTAGTGACTTGGTAACAGAAATGTCCCTAATCAAGCCCCATCCATCTCTGCCTGTCTCCTGCTCCATAACTTTTGCTCAGGCCACAGGCTGCTAGTGACTTGGCAACAGAAATGTCCCTAATCAAAACACAGAGTTGCCTACAACCCAGAAAACCACCCTTGTGGACCTGGCAGGTCTAGTCAATAGGGCAGAGTTACAGATGCCTTCAAAGCATTCTTTCTTTGCAAGAATGCCCAGTTCCTGATGGCTGACTAGCTGGAGACATAGAAGCATTTGTAAATCAAGGAGAAAAGAGGGGCATTCCTGAGAATTGTTAAATACTAAAGGCACCAAGGGCACCAATGCACTCATTCGTGATGAGCTGCAAAACTGCACTGGTGGCCGGCCCACTGAGACACCAGCTGATGGCCTTGAATAAAGTCCCAAGTGCTCAGGAATGCAAATTGGCAGCGGGGCCATGGAGAGGTTTTTGGAAGGGGAGAAAAGAAATAAGAATACCAGGTGGCCTCTGAGGGAAGTGACTGATGTGAACACACTGTTGGGGATGTTCCCTGAGCATCCCTATAAGGCCTTGAGGTAACAGGGAAGTGGATGTTACATACATACCTCAATGGTGTCTCCCAGGCATGCTGTGCACCAGCCATGCTGCTGGGGCAGTTGAGAGTGTTTTGCTCACAGGAGGCATTCGATTGAGAGGGCTCAAGTGGCACAGTCCTATTGGACTTGGAATTGAGCAGCTCTACCCCAGGGCTGTCAATTTGGCCCCCTCCTCACCCACCAACAGAGCTGATAGGACACCCAGTGGAAATACTGGAAGAACAAGACAGACACATTTGCTGGGTTGCTGAGGCACCAGCCTGAAAAAACAGGCTTATATTGCACAGGGAGAGGATTCCCAGTAGGGAGAGCAGCACTGTAGTCAGAAGAGACTTCCAGAGGGCTAGGCCCTGCGGACCCCGAGCCACATCAAAAGCCGGTCTAGAAAGGTTACAGCCCGAGACAGCCAGCCATCACTGGAAAAGGAGGAGATGGTTAAGCTGTTCTCAATGTTCTTATCCCTGGCCCAGGCCCAGCCACTGCACTCACGGCAAGGCAGAACTGTCACTCCAGATGAGTAAAACCCCACAGTGGCCACCAACCGCCACCTTCCCTTCCCATCCTGTCCTGCCAATCCCAAGCTCGCCTAAGGTCTTTCCTGTGTCCTCCAGCTGGACCTCAGCAGACTTTCCCCATCCTCAAGGCATAACAGACACAGGTTACTGTGAAGACATCTAGGGTCAGGCAGGAAGGTAGCTGACTAGACAACCTGAAGCCCACCCTAGAATCTTGGCCCTTAGAAGCTTCACTTCTTCACTGTCTCCAAGTGAGGTCTTTTCCCTTCCTCCTAGTCTTGGGCCAGAGTAGAAAGGGCAAGGAAGCCCTATTTCAGCAGGATCCCTGGAGTGCTTGGGCAGCTTCTTTGATGTTTCCAACAAAAGCTCTGTATGCACTTAGCCGGTTGGGGCGGGGCGGGGAGGGAGGGGGGCGGGCAGCAGAACCCTCTGAAGTTGGCAGAAATGGAGGAGGGGACTGGGGCTGTCCAATGGCTGGGAGCCTGGCTGGCACTGAGGTGTGGATGGAGCTGCCAGACACCCTGCATTATCCAGAGTCCTACACGAGGAAGAACTGTCCTGTCTGAAAAGATTTGTTCCACAAGCACGCTCCCAGTAAGGCAGCACCCAGGCTGTACCTCCTCCTCTGCCTTCTCCCACCCAGAGCCTCTGTTTACAACTGAGCTGCTCTGTGGGGACGCTGGTGAACACTGGTGGCAAGCAGCCCTATGAGATTTGGCCCTCCAGGCCAAAGGCTTCCTTACCTGGACATTTCCTCTTGGACAGAACACTGGTCATCGGGGAGCTCGTCATCGCCATGCACACTTGCAGACAAAGAGATGAGACTCAGTTAGAAACAAGGAAAGACTGCAGGTGTGGTACAGGGCGGCACATTAGGACTTCCACACACACATGAATCAATCCCCTCAAAAAGGGAGCTGGGGGGGAGACTGTGCAGACTGCCCAGAAACAGGGTTATACTGTGCCAATCACCAAGAACAAAACACTTCAAATCTGGATAAAAGAAGGAAAAGACCCCGTGACCTCAGTGCTGGGGGGGAGGGCAATGTCTTGCTATTTCACTAACCAGCTCACCCATGTCTCAACAGCTGCTAACAGGAGGTGTCACTGTCCACTTGAAAAGCATTATAGCAATATTTTCTTTTCTTTTCTTTTCTTCTTCTTTTCTTTTCTTTTTTTTTTTGGTTTTTCGAGACAGGGTTTCTTTGTGTAGTTTTGGTGCCTGTCCTGGAACTCACTTTGTAGACCAGGCTGGCCCTGGGCTCACAGAGATCCGCCTGGCTCTGACTCCTGAGTGCTGGGACTAAAGGTGTGCGCCACCACCACCCGGCTATTTTCATTTTTTTAATTGAACATAATACAGATTAGTACATGCAAGCACTTGCACTGAGTGGCTCATGGTATTAATTCATCTCATACCCTAGCAAGAATATTACCATCCCCATCTTATTGAAGTAGAAAGAGATGTAGGTAGGCTGACTCAGCCCCAATCAAAAGTGGTCAGAGCCAAGTTTTATATTCAGTCTGGGCTCTGGATGATTCTATCAAACTGCTCCTCCATACAGAATATTAACACAGGCATGAAAGCTGGCTTTGCTTCTTTAAAAGAAAATGTTTCTGTGTGTGTTGGGGATGGGGGCATGCACATCCTGTGGAGGGCTGAGGACAGTCCTGTCATGTCAGCTGTCTCCTTCTACCTTCATACGGGTTCTAGGGTAGATCTGGGGTCACCAGGCCTGTGTGGTAAATGCCTTTACTTGCTGAGCCATCTTGATAGCCCTTTTGCGTAGCTTTCCACTCACATCCCTTCACTGGGGCTCTGAACAAGCCACTTTCTCAGACTTACCTGCATTGGGTATATTTCCACCTTCAGGAAAAGATAATGTGAACTAATCACACCATTCAGGTGCATGAGGTTACATATGAAAAGTATCAGAAACGGGGCCATAGTCTAAAATCAGTCTTTATTAGACATTCACCTGTGCTAAAAGGTACAAAATAACCTATGCAAATCTGTGTCCCATTCTTTGTAAGAATTGTTCATTTGGTTCACTAACTAGGGAGAGATTTTTTTTTTTTTTCAAATCCACACTTCAAGTATAGATCGAATATGTGTGTGGTGATGAGACAGTGTGGCTCTGGGCCACACAGAAAGCAGATAACCCAGGGAGCTGAGACATCAGATGTAAAGGGCGTTCACCTGTCTTTTCCCAGTCCTGCCAGCTATGTGGCTGGCCAAGCTGTAAGCCATGATCCATGGCCTACAGGCCTCACAGCCTACTGTTCCTGGGTTTTGTCCTCCAGGCCATTAATCTCCGAGTTGTCCAGGCTGGCACAGAGGTGCATGTGGAGTGATTTTATAGCAGGTACCCCTCACTCACTCACCTCCTGTGACCCCTAAAATTTAAGTCCTGAAGCCTTAACCCCTCTGTACCTTACAATTGGCTACATCTAGAGGCAGGACCTTTAAAGAGGCAAAGATAAGCCATTACAATGGCCCTAATCCATTCTCACTGGTAACCCTACAAGACACACCAGGGATGGGCAGGTGCAGAGGAATGGTTACATGAACTCTAATGAGAAGAGTCTATCAGCAAGCCAAGAACAGCAGGTGCAAGAAAAACCCACCCTGCTGACATTTTGGTCTTTTGAGCTTCGCACTTCTGGCACTAAGGGAATATATTTTTCTCTACTTGCCCCACCCAGGCTGTAGTACTTTGTTATGATGTCCCTTGCAAGCTAAGAATTAGATCCACTTTATATTTAAATTACTATCTACTCGACATGCTCAGTAAGTGAATGCAATAAACCAAAAAACTGTTTAATATTTTTAATTATGATTGTAAATTATACAATTTCTACCATTTAGTATTTTGTATAAAACCATTTGACAATACACAAGATTTTCAAATGCAACAATAAGTATCAAAAACTACATGTATGTGCCAAGTTTACAGGCTAGGGTGAAGCTTTATCTTAAAAATACCTTCAGGAGAATAAACATCCAACCAGTTCTCTCAGCTTTAAAAATGATTAGAAATATACAATTTAATAAAATATCAAGACAATGATTGATCAAATACTGATTCATCAGTTACACCTTAAAACTTCACTTAATCATCTGTACATGAGTGTACAATAAAGTCTTCAAACAATGGATGTAAAACTGCAGTACTCTAATCTGATGGACATGTCTTATCCACAGTGAGTTCTACTGGATCGTTAAGGAGGTAATTTCTTATACAGTATAGGCAAGTCTTTTTAACACACCTGTAGTATTTCCATTCAATGATATGAGGAACACTCAGATTTAAAGAGAGATGCAAGACATTTTCAGTGGAAGAAAAATCTTAAAGAAAATAGGTTTTAAGGTTTCTGGCCAACTGCTTTCTAAAATGTGGCAAGAACTTTTAGAAAATATATGAAGAAAAGCAGCTGTTGCTTCTAGGACACACACCAAATGAACAAATACTTGTCATAGACAGCGATTCAAGCTAACAGAGGCCTAAGGAATTCCAGGCACAAGTTACCCAGAAAGCTGGAAAGGTCTGTTAGACCTAAAAATACTCCAAGAGCCTCATGAGAACACTTGGGAAAGCCTCTATGACCTGTCGGGGGCCCAAGCCAAGAGGTAGAAGCCACCTGTGGGGTGAGGTGATAGGGCATGGGATGGGACAATGGATAGGGCTAGGTCTTGGGGGTCAAGTTACAGCTGGGAAGTTCTGAGGAAGAGCAGCACGTGGCCATGTTAGACAAATACTGCCACCATTGAATGTGGCGCTGCTCAGGGCCCATCCTTCTTGCCTCATGGCAACAGAGTTCTAGTAGGGCCTCAGAAGTGTATTAATCTCTAAGTCCTAAAATCCAGCTCTGCAGACATTCCTCTCTTGAACTCTGGGTGGTCTCAGTCCCCCAAAAGCTTCAAGGGCACCTATACATGTACTTTCTAATTTTAATTCTGCTATAAGAGGTTTTGATGCACTTTCAAAGCTATTTAAAGTTCTTAAATTAAAGGGGCCCCTGCAATCAACACTCACTGATTCATGCCCTATAGCAGCAGGGTCTTCTAACCCAGCAGGTTCTGGGTAGTTGTAGTTGGGGAGGAGTTGTGCACTAATTCACAGCAGGAAGGATTTTCCATTAGTCAGACCCAGACTTCCTGGGTCCTAGATGTCACCAGTCAGTGCTGGTGACTGTCCATCCCCAGAGTTATCACCTCAGCATCTGGAGTAGGTTTTCCTAGGAATGCATCCTCACCAACTTGCGTTTCCTAAGTAACTTCAGCAAGAGAGGGAATTTTAGCAAGAGCCACAGTAGTAGCAATTCTAGCTGAATGGAGTCGCCAACACAAAGGGGCGATTTCTAAAAAGCACTATGGTTATCACTGAAGCCCAAGTGGTTTATTCCCAAACTCAATCACTATGAGCCACAGTGGGCAGGCCCCGTTCACTCATCCTGATACACAGGACAAATCCAGCTTGGTTCAGATGGAAGAAGAACTATCCTAAGAAGTTGCTACTTTAGACTCAGGTACAGTCTGATTGAGCATTATCAGTAAATGAAATGTTTGTCCTCCTACCTAGGTCTTAGCTGCCTTTCTCCAGTGTTTAACTGGGGAGGAACTCTTTGTGTGGATTCTACATTGACATTCCCAGGCCCCCAACCCAATGTCAGCCAATGCCACAGTTTGAGGAGAGAAACACTGAAATGGGGACCCACTGTCTTTCTTTTTTTTTTTTTAAACATTTACCAGACTTTAACCTGTTCATTACAACTACAAGGCAGGCAGCTTTTCAAGTGGGAATACCTGCTCGCCTGACACATTCATCTGTCTTAGGAAGGCATTGGCTCTCAATGGCTTTCAATATTGCATTTTTCCAGTCTTCAAACTGGGAAGAGTAAAATCCACTATCTTCTATTGTGGAAGTAACTAAGACAACCATAAAGTATTCTCTAATTATTAGCTCTGTCTTCTTTTTGGCAGCAGATAAAGTCTGGCTCTGCGATTGCTTCATGGCACAGGTAGAGCTGGCTTCCAGCAGGGGTGAAGAGAGAAGGCACACTACAGTTTCTAGTCCTATTCCCTAACCAAAGGCAACAGTGAGTTCTCTTACACAAACAGCCTAACTCCAGAAGCAAGCAATTGTCGCTAAAATCAAACTGTGAATCACAAGAAAAAAAAACTCCACAGCATTACAGAGAAAGACTCTACAAAGGGTTGGCAATTTTGTTTTTAAAGCCACCATTATTCAGGGTGCTTTCCCACAGACAAGCAGCACTACTGTTTGGTTTTAATGTACTGGAGGAAACACAATTCTCTGTGTGACTGAGCAACCCAATGTCTCAGTCCTGAAATCTTCATCCTAAATGACACAGGAAGGACTTATGTAATATTCTATCAACATTCTTTAGCAGGTTTTAGTAACCACAACAACACACAACAGTGTTTAAATGCAGTTTTCACAGATTGTTATTAAAGCACTCTTTGGTGAAAGACAAGCAGCTTGGGTAATTCACACAGTGAACATCACAACGGTATTAACAAGAGTAAAGTGAAACTGATTGTACCAAATCATATCTTAAGACGGAGGGTACCACTGGAGAGATGCTCATCTCCTTTCACGTTTATAAACTGCAGGATGGGGTCACAGGCTGAACAAAACATAAATACACCAAGAGACCTCCAGCACACCCTCCACTCTCCTGAAGGCCAGCAGCGAACACGATTGCCATCACAAGAACACACATATACCACACTCACCAGACAGCTCTCTGGTGGCAGAGGGTTGGGTATTGACACCTGAGACTAAACTTTTAACAGCAGCTTTCATCCAACTTGAGATTACAGAAGGGAGAGTCCGGCCCTCCAATGGCTCAGCCACAAAGTCAGTGAGTGGCTGAGAGGCCAGTGACGTTTTCTTCATTGAATGAACTTCTCATGTGGAAAGAAACTAAGGCTTTTGCAGTGTCTGTTTTGTTCTTGGATGATTGGCTAAATCCTGTTGGGGTTTTCTGTTCCCTGGAGTGCTGGTCACCGGGTTTTTACTTTAACGCAAGACACTCTTAGTCCTTGAAACAGCTGGACTGAGGAGAAAAAAGAGAAAGATTTACCATGAAGATTTTAAAGTGTCCCAGAGGGAGTTTCCAAAGACGAGGACGGCAACATAAAGAGAGTACTGGCATGCGAAGAAGCGCGTACTTGGTGTAGTTCTGACATTCTTACAGAGACAGGACAACATCAACCAAACACGAGAGGAAGGCAGGGTAGAGGAAGTCCAAATTTCATTAAAAAAAAAAAAAAAAGCAATAGAAATAAACAAAAACAAGCGGGAGCAGGCGCAGGCAGCAGAGCAAGGCAAGGTACCATAACGCCAGCACGGGCGTTGGCTGCAAAGCACTCCTCCTCCTTTCCCTCCAAGGAGCCAGGCTGTGGGGACAGAGGAAAGAACGGAAAGATAAAGAGGGTTACTGAGTGGTTTCAAGGTCAGAATTTGGTTACAGAAAAAGCTCCAGCGTCTCAAGCAGTTTCTAGTTTTGGTAGCCCCTCCTTCTCATAGTGCTTGGCCTGTCTGTAAGGAGATCTGGGCAGGGACAGCCAAGGGCCCCTCTGGGCTCATCAGAAATCAACCTGACTCGACCCTCCTCTCTTCCTTCCTCCCACAATGTGTTGTTATGCTTTAAACTCATCAGCAACTTTCAGAGAAAAAGAAAAAGAAAAAGAAAAGACAAACCCACTCACAAAACTACTTCTGATCTGGAGGTAACCCTCACTTGGCTAACAGAAGACTCATTTGAATTGGGTGTGTAGTTTTTTACAGACACGAGCAGAGAGTACTGAGTGCAAAGACAATCGGCAAATCTAATCAAATGGAAATACATCTGGAATTCCAAACGAACATTATTTTAAAGTCCAGAGGGAACCAGCACTTAAGAGAGATAACATCCTGGGACTCCTAGAGATAATGGCAGATGAAATGAGAAATCCCAGAAGCAATGGAACAGGAACCAGCGGCTGAGACCCTGAGAGCTGCAAAGGCAGGAAGACAGCCACGACTTTCACAGCAAGGACTTACAAAGGCTTGGATGAGTGATGAAGGACCCTGAGCATCACACCACGTAACAGGAAAACCACAAGCATCAGGGTGGTTTGGTGGCAGGAGAAGAGTGACGGTTCCCAAAGACACACCTTTAAACATAAAGGTCACTTGGACATGACAGATTTTAAGAAAATGAGATGAAATAACTGAAAAAGAAAATTGTCCAAAAGAAACTTTAGAAGCTTCTAGAAACATGTAGAATGAAGTGAACTCTCCAACTGAGGCATCTGCAAGTCTTCCACTTGGAGGTGTGATGGTGTTCAAGACTCATTCTGAGAATGCTTCAGAGTTAGTGGAAACACTGAAAAAAAGCTAACTGGTCAATTATGAGCTGTTTTAATAGATTTATGGTCCTGATAGGAAGTGAAAATTGTGGAAACCCACAGACTTCCTTCTGAATCTGACAAATGAAAAGGAGCCACACAAGGGATCATCAGTGCAGGAGCCGAATCTTTCCATCCCACACAGGCTGTGTGCTCCACGATGTCTGGATGTGGCTTCTGTCCAAATGGACACATGACATAAGGGCATTGACACGAGAAGCACAGTGGTCTTTCTCTTCCAAAAACAAACACCTCTATCCTAACATGTCCACCTTTCTCAGTCTCTTCTTTTAAGAGGATTTGTTGGGGAAAAGTCTCTGAAGTTGAAGTGTCTCTTGGTAAAATGTCAAAACTCATGAGTCAACTCAGTACAAAGTGATGTTTGGGAGAATCTCCATCCTGGAAGCCTCAGAAAACAAATGGGGATGTGGGAATGAAGTTTCCATGGGCCACCACAGAGATGCATGAGTACGTGGACCTGTAACAGACAGGGCCTCTCCCATAAAAGAGCCAGGAGACCTGGTGAGCCTACACCCCAAGGGAAGACTGATGGACACTGAAAGAGAGCGTAATCTTTATTTTGAATGTGGTTCTTTTTTTGGGGGGGGGGGACTATGAGCCTGTTTTTCCTGGGTTAGATTATATACCAATGTTAATTCCTTTAATATCCTCCAACCAAAAGCTGAACTTTATTTAGCAGACACAAGAGGCCTGGAAATCTCTGATTCTCCTTATTTCTTAGAATTAGTGGAATGCCATACACAGTTGTGTGCCTTTCTTCTGTAAGCTGGAGGTGATAATAGTTAAGGTAATATGAATATAGGCCACAGCAACCCCAGTCCCAATTTCTTTGGTTTCCAATACCACCTCAAATTCCTGAAGGGCACTTTGGGACAGTTCATTTAGCCCAGCTTATTTAGTCTGAAGTCTGCTTAGAATACTCAAAGCATCCAGTCCAGGCCCTTGGGAGCAGCTCACTAAAAAAATCAGAAACCACTCTCCAGAGAGGAAAAGTGGAGGTCACAGGAAGGGTATGTGAAGTCAAGAAACCTAGACAGAAAGACTGATACACAGTCAACCCTCCTCAGTGGAATATGGTATGATTCGAGTCAAAGCTTGGCTAGAATTCTATTTCTCAGAATCAAATGAACAAGTCTTGTTGGACTGTTAATGGAAGCTTGATCACTTAGACCTAAAGAAGGTGTTGATGATGCCAACATCAACACCATGCCTTCTGACTGGTTATTGTTTTGTTTTGAGATAAGATCTCACTGTGTAACCCTGGCTGCTGGACCTTGCTCTGTAGATCAGGCTCCCTGCCTCCTGGGGGCTGGGATTAAAGGCCAGCACTCCCAGGGCACTTTAGACAGTCTGACTTCACATAAAAGATATGCCTATTTCCTCAACTTAATGGGAAAGTTGGAATCTAAGATCTTAATTGTCCTACCAACCAGAATCAAGAAGCACAGAAGTTTGCTTGTGTTTCATTTGTATGCATACTTAAAAATTTGCATACTGGCCGGGCTGTGGTGGCGCACGCCTTTAATCCCAGCACTCGGGAGGCAGAGCCAGGCGGATCTCTGTGAGTTCAAGGCCAACCTGGGCTACCAAGTGAGTCCCAGGAAAGGCGCAAAGCTACACAGAGAAACCCTGTCTCGAAAAACAAAAAAAAAAACAAAAAACAAAAAAAAATTTGCATACTGTAAATAATTATACGGCAATACATTTCTCTATATATGGCATAATGTATATTTACAAATTGGAGCTATACCTCAAAGTTTTACATGGGACTTTTACTTATTTACTCTCTTTTCTTTTTTTCAGACGCATTTATCTAAGTCATTAAATTTTCTTTTAAGACATGACTCAGGTTGGGGATTTATCTCAGTAGTAAAAAGCACTTGCCTAGTCCACATGAAACCCTGAGTTCTACCACCAGCACTATCAATCAATCCATCGGTAAATAAATGGTTCCCGATTCGTCTGGCACAACTCAGCCCATCTCCTATTTTTCTGTTATAACACTTGGACGCTATGTTATAATACACCTAAATCTGACCTTTTGTCAGTGTTCTAATTTTCTTGTCAAGTTAGAACCACAGAATAAAAGGAACATGAATGCTTAACTAATTAACTAGAAAATTAAAACAGGGGCTTCCCCTTCTACAGGACCTAACCTTGAGTCTGGACAGCTGCATGGACTCCAGCTCCAGGGAGTCGAACGTTCCCTGGCTTCTGTGGGCACCAACACTCCACACATATAAAATCCTTAACTTCTGAGTCAGTGCCTGCCTGCCAAGTCTCAGGTACCCACGTTGGTTCTTTGTCCTGTTCTCAGGAGACTCTAGCTCCATAGTGAAATTTTACAAAAGACTCAGCAACAAGGAAAAACAACCAAACTCAAAGCATTCCTTAGAACCGCAAGTTCACAGAGCTCTTGGGACACAGCGGCAGTGGAGTTCACCAGAGATGAACTTACACTGACTAAGTAATAAGGGAGACGCTCCTGGTAAAAGCAGCAAGGATGATGTAGAACATGGCCCAGATTAACCTCAGAGCTATCCGTGTTAAAGAGAAGCACCGCCACTGCCACGAGATGGCGCTGGCGCGCCTACTCTCTACGGCCAGCAAACAGCAGTGGTATGGTCTATTCTTCCCCCATCAGCGGCTGGGGCTCAGAATTATCTTAAGAATTACATGTGGAAAACGTTCTCAACAGAGTCTAGCGTAAATGAAAGAGGTGGCAACTGAGGAGGGGCTGTGGCCAGAGAACGGGTATCAGGTCTAGAGCCTCAGGCTCTGCCACGACTCACTGACCTGTACCCGACAGACAGGAAGGGGCTTCCTCCAAGCCTGGAACACTCGGGAAAAATTCTAGGGCAACGCCCTCAGCTTCCCCATACCAACTTCCCCATATCATGCCAGGGACCACACTTCTAACAGAAGGAATTTCCTCTGGACAGCCAGTAACACAGAAGCCTCCACCTTCCTGGGACATGAATCAGTCCCATACCAACTTCCCCATATCATGCCAGGGACCACACTTCTAACAGAAGGAATTTCCTCTGGACAGCCAGTAACACAGAAGCCTCCACCTTCCTGGGACATGAATCAGTCCCAGGAGCAGGGTCCAAAAGAGTAAACTGGAAACAAACGGGAACTTTCCAGAGTAGGACTCTTTTCTCACCTTTTAAGACTGCTTTTCCCCGAAGCAGATCTGGTGGTTCGTTTAGTAATGCCTGCACTGCCAGAAAGGTTAGGTTCAGGGGTTTTACAGCTCTGAACACGGGACTGAAGAATTACTCTGAAAACAGTTGGAAAAAGGCAAGATTATATTCACTAAAACAACTTTTCAATAGTTGACAGAGGAAGGCAATTTTGCACTTTGGTATAATTATTTGTTTTGCAAACTGAAGAATTTTCCACAATCACATTTGCTACTTATACACAAACACCAACCTTGACGCACATTTTTACACCAAGCGTCTCATGTTTCTTTGAAGGTTATTGGAGGTACTCAGGTGCTTGGCTTTTGGGAAATGAATGGCCTGGCATTTTATGCAATTCACAAACCAAAGAAATCTACTAGTCGAACCTGTCAAAGTAGAGTCTCAGATTTCAATCACAAAGACAAGTCATAAATCCCATATTTTTTAGTGTCTGAATATAAACTTAGCAAAACAGCTACATGATATTCACTGGTCAGAGCAGGAAGCAGATACAATAAACAACAAAGTAGTAATTTTATATGCCAATGAAAAGTTTAAATACATTCAAGCAAAATTTCAGTTTTGTCTGCCTCATAACTATTTACCAAATCTTGAATTTATCCCTTAAATGCTGTGAAACTTGTCTTAATTAAAATCTCCCAGGACAGAAGACTGCTCAGGATGAAAAATCATAAATCAGAAAGAACAGGCCACACAGAGCACGCTCTCCCTAAGTAATTCTTATTAAACTGTCAGAGGAAAAACAGCAGAAAACATCAAAAGATGTTGGCAGGCCAGTCTCGGCTTCAGAAGCCATGCACTCCTTTATTTCCATCAGTGTCTGCTAGAGAAAGGAGAAAACACTGACTTAACAGCTTCCTCTTCGGGAGTCAAACTACAATCGGGAGAGCCAATAACAATCTGTGAGAGCCCAGCTCCATCAAAATAAGTAATTTCAACTAAGGAAGAGTCTGCTTTACAGGCCTGTCATGACCAGGGTGATCGACAACTACTGGTCCTTCTAATGTAGCAAAGGTTCCAAAGTTCTGATGATGGTGGGTTACTCACAGCAAGGGCAGCCAATCACCTCACTGCTTGGCGTACCAGTTGTGTGAGAAGAGGTGGAGCTGTTAGCCCACCATTGTTCTGAAAGTTCTGGAGCTTCACAGGCAATGTAGCCCTGACTGAATCTGCCCATGTCACGAAACTGATCTGAAATTCTCTAAGTAGAAATAGTAGATGCACACACAATTGTGACTCAAGAAGGAACCAACTGTCTAAGACATGAACCCAGCTCCCCAAAACAGGATTTAGTGAAAAGTTCTTTTTAAGAAATGACGTAACTATTTAGTATACATGTAATAATCATGCACATGTATTGGCATAAGGAATCACTTCAATATGTATAGATAATATATAACAATAAGATGGAGTAGTTGGCTCATCCAGGGCCTCATTATCATCCCTAATGTTGGGAACCTTCAAGGGCCCCTCTCCTTAAAAAATTCTTTTAGTTGTCAACCACAGTTACTCTGTACTGGGCTAGATAGAACATTAACGCTACTTCTCCCATTCAACTGCTAAAATTTCCTTCTGCTAATACAAATCAAAGAGGAAATATTTATTCATCTCTCTCAAGGATATGAATCTAGAATTTTGCATAAAGTCTAACAAATCCATCTGCTAATTTCCCAGGTTTCTGGGTAGTGTGTACAGTTGATTGTCCTCTGCTGCTTCTTGACAGAGGAGAAAAATGAGACTGGGTTTTTCTGAAATGTCACTCCTCCACTTCAGACCATCTGAAGTCAAAAGCACGGATAACTATCATACTATAAGGTCATTAGCACAAAAAAACAAGAAACCAGGACACTGCCTGTTCAGGAAATCTCGTGATTTCTTAAATTACTGAAAGTTTAAGTGCTACACAAAACAAAGAACTACAACTCAATCAAGAAGTATTTCTTAGGCTGGCTGAAAAAATATTTTTAGAGCATTAATTTTTCTAAAAATAGTGGAAATAAATGTGAAATAATGATATTAGTGGTTACTAATTTCTGTGGAGCTTTGAAATGCAAAAGGAAATTTAGTATACATTAATCACACCAGGGAAGCCTCAAGGTTATCTGACATGGGTGAGCAGTTAGTACACCAATGCAGTGGGAAAGCTCCAAGACTACACTTACATATTACCAGCAAGAGGCAAAAGTAACTCAGAGAGGGCGAGGAAGCCAAACCAAGTGTTCCTCTCTGCAACAGGAAACTGGGGATTCACCGCCACCTGCCCTCCTCACATGGTTTTTCTCATGTAATATGCAGAATATACATTTTTCTCTTCTCTATCTGCCCCGATGAAATTTCCTTTGGTCTTCCTTACTTTGTGCCTAAACCATAGACCACTGCCCTCTCTGTGGTGTCTCTGGAGCCTCAGCAGCTCCAGATGTTGGACAGTGACAATGTGAGACATGAGTGTCCTGCTGGGCCTCCAAATGCCTGGACGTCTTCCTAAGGGACCACTGCCACAGAGCTTTTTGTATGATGCCCCACAACATCCTTCACCCTTCTCTAGTGGCACCATCCCCCATGCATGCACCAGGCACAGAACATTAAATGCTTTCTGGTCTTACGCTGCAGGCCATCAGCTATTGGATTCTGAATGGTTGCTAAGCAAGGCTCTTACCAGCAGCTCACAGCAATGGCCCAACACAATGGAGCAGTGAAAACTGTCTGTCACTCACAAATTAAGCCTCTTTGGAAGAAAGTGACCAGGAACTAGTGGCTACAAAGATCACACTTGTTACTTACCTCAGCTACAGAAAGGTTTTTGCTTTTGTAAGTTCAAATCAGTAGGCAGACTAAATGGAATGCCCTGCTTAGGTTCTGAAATGTGGTGGTAACACTAGCCACAGGCGACCTAACTATCTTGCAGAGGACACTGAGGGGGAAATCCCCAGCAGAAGCAACATTTAAGCTGAAGACATTTGAGCCTGATGACAAACATTATTAGCAGCAACCCCACCCATTCAGAACATCTTGGCCACTTGGAACAGTCTGAGAAGAATAAACTATAAAAGGTATCACTGCTCTTCAGTCAATAGGTAGAAAAAGAAAAAAAAAATTCTATAGAAACCTGAGTGTGAATATGAAACTATAAACTCACCTAGGATAGTCAAGGAATTGCCATAAATAAAAATGTGTTCAGTAAGCTTTCTTTAATATTAAAGAGTGGGATTGGATTCATTTTTCATCCTTCTCAGTCATATGAAAACACTCAACAGAACCACAAAGGACCAGGGTTGGTTGCAATGTGCTTTTACTTTGGAAGAAATCCTAGAAGAGAATTCTGCATGCTTTGGTAATTTCTAAGTCTAAACTAGGACAAGAAAAATCACTTTTGGAATGAACAGAAGAAAGGTTACGGAAAACACACAGATACGGGGTGTCGTTGTTGTTGTGGGACACAGTCTCCCTCTGTGGGTCTTAACTGTGGGGTTCCACATGGGCATTTCCTGCCACATTCTGCTGAACAGAAGAGGACAGATCTCAAGAGAATACAGTAGTTGTGTACATAATCTAATAAAGATAGTCTAGCTACTTTTGGGAAAGGAAGGAGGCAGAGGACGGAGACTGTAAGGCAGAAACACGAGCACGAAGGTGACAGCAGCTCCATGCCTCCCAGTCTCACTTAACACAGAAGAAGATGTGACGTAGAGTGGACGGCTCTGCACACCAAAGACAGGCGACAGGAAGAGAGCTGCCCCGTGGCAGAATCAGGCTGTGGTCCTCACTAGCCCTCAATGCCACAAAACCCAGTCTTTGCTTAAGAAGAAATGGTGAGAAAACCCATTGACTGGGGCCACACTCAAGGCACAGAATATGAGAGGTGTGCATAGCCCCTGGGAGAAAGGAGGCCAGACTAATTAGCCCAACTAACTAAACATTTCTGACAGGAAAGAAAACTATTCCAATGTCCGCATTTATAAATAACTAGTACAACTTTCAAAAATAGGTGTTATTTTTAACATCCTTGGCTTAGAAGGATCATCATTGAGGCTCTCACCCACTGCTACCATCCCACTCACTGAAAAGATTCAGAAAGAGAACCCTGGAAAATAAGCAAACCAAAACAGCCAGGAGAGCCAGAAGGAGAAATACATGCACCTTGAGAACCACACTGGACGACAGGGAGGGTAGGAGATACGGAACAGGAAACTTACACAGCAAACTATCTGTCAAAGGGTCCGGATGGCTACTGTGCTCTGAAGCCATCAAGACAGAACAGCAGGGTGGGGAGAATGTAGTCACACACAATCCACCAGATGGCAACACTACACAGTGCAGAGGCCAGCACAGCTAGGGGGCATCTGGAAAGGGCGGAAGGGGAAAGAACAGATGTTCAAACTTTGAAGTCAAAATAAATCATGTAATAAAATACATAGAGCCACCTGTGGCTTTAAGACACCCTAAAAGACCCAGAGCAGCAACTGTGATGGCAAAGGGGCGGGAAACAAGGGTGGTGGTGGTGGTGGTCCGATTTCTGTTGAGACAAAAATGCTGACTTTAGTTCAACACACAGGAACAAATGGTGAGACTCCATCTCTAGTTGGATAACCACCCCACCATACTGATTTACAATACTTAAGCTGGCCACAGTCAAATATACAGTATGCTCGTACAAAAAACTACACCTGAGTACAGGGAGAGGAGGAGGCAGAAACAGCCCACAGATCGGGAGGTATGACTATGGACAGGGAACTGAGTTCGTGAGTTAGGAGTGAACTGCACACTGACGGCATGGATTGCAGAAGCACACCTGACCAGACGCCATCAGCTTCATTACTGTAGTCACACTATGTATGTTTCCTTGTTTTCTTTACACAACCTGAGGTGATTTCAAAGAGATGGATCTCACAGCCTTGGGCATTTCAACACTTAGTTCCCAGTTGGTGAGATGGTTTGGATAGGTGTAGGAGGTGTGGCCTTGATGGGGGAAGTATGTGACTGGGAGTGGGCTTTGAGGTTTCAAAGCCTCTTGCCATTCCCAGGTGGCTCTTTCTGCTTCCTGCCTACAGCTCAAATTTGAGTTTCCATTTCCGGTTCCAGCTGCCAGGCCTGCCACTACACATGCTGTCACATCCCTGTGATGCTGATGGACAACCCCCTGGACAGTAAGCCCAAGTAAACATTTCCTTCTTTAAGTTGCCTTGGTCATGGTGGAGTATCATAGCAATGGAAAAGTAACTAATACACACTCAAACTTTGATATTTATTTTCCCGTCACCTCCTGTTCCCTTCTTTCTTAAGACAAGGTTTCCTATTGCCCAGGCTGACCTTGACTTTACTATGCAGTTGAGGATGGCCTTGAACTTCTGATCTTCCTGCCACTACCTTCCAAGTGCTTAAGTGCTGGGATTACAAGTATGTCCACATACCCAGTTTTGGCTTGGTGTTTCTTGTGTGTGTGCTGTATGTATTCACATGTGAACACATAAATGTATGGATGTGTGTGGAAGAAAGAAGTCAATGCCAGGGTCTTCCTCAATTGTTTTCCACCTTATTTTTATTTATAGTTCCTGACTACAATGTCTTCTTAGTTGGTAGTGGCATGCAAATGGGATGTCTGCACTATAGATTTTCATTTGTTCCTCTGGTAAAACGCAAAGCCTAAGAGTTATTTTTCTTTGTTGAAATGCTCACTTGTCTTTTTTGCACTGTTAGATTTAAGTGATTTTTCTAAAGTAACTGTATGTTTCTATCTGATGACCATGTAGGACACAACTACAACCCTACCCTCCATGCATTCTTTCCTGCAGATCTAACACACATAGTTCGTGGCACACAGAGTGATGGGCAATCTGGTGTCGATACTGTCAACTTGACAGAATATAGATTATTCAAGATACAAGTCACGTCTGTGAGGGGTTATCTAAGATTAGACTAACTGAGATGGGAAAACCCACCTTGAGTGGCACCATCCCAAAAAGGAGAAAGTGGTCTGAGCACATGCACGCATCAGATGAGGTGTGACCAGGTACCTCCTCAGTTTCTGCTGCCTGACTTTTCCACCATGATGAATTATACTGTGAGCCTAAATAACACCCAACCCCCCCAGTACTTTAACCACAGCAACAGGAAAAGTAACTAATACAAACAGAATTAGTTACTAACAAGCCAGCAAGTCAATTTAACATGGAAAATACACTTGCCATCCAGTCCTGAAGGTCAGGTGGATGCCATGGTGCTAATGAGTTACCAACCTCACAGAAGTCAGCATGGGGCAGGCTCTCCAATGAAAGGGCAACTGTACAATTTCTAATAAAACAAACTTCTCTACAATACTGGAATTTCCTAAAGAAAAACCAATCACTAGGAGAGACATTTAATATCTATCTGTAACCTCCTCCTAGGATTCTCTAGGACATTTCTCATCTGGTTCTTGGAGTATTTTCCTATGTCCAAGTACCAATATGGAGGCAAATAATTTAGCAACAGCAATACATGAGTCAAGTGGGGAGGTAGGAATGGAAGGAAGTGGATTTACCATGCTCCCCGAAAAAGACTCCAGAGTTTTCTAACCACTAAATGGCAGATTAGGAAAATTTGAGCCATATGGAGAAGAGGGCAATTTGAGGGTGCTCAGTGAGATCCAGTTCACTCAAGAGTGCTTCAGCACTCACCATTCTTTGTTCCTTTTTTCACACTGGTCGGGGAAGTATACTAACTAAACAAATGAGTCCTTTCACCTAGTCTTTTCCAGTTCCCTCACTCTCCTTGCTTCCTTCCTTCCCCTCCTTTTCCAGCAGTGAAGAGAATTAAATCCCAGCCCCCGAGAGCACTCTCCCACTGAGCTCTTCCCAAACCCTCTAGCTGCTTTCATTCAGCCATTACTGAGAGCATCAGACTTTTAGCTCAGACAGCCTCACAAACTCTGCTGAGTGTGGAACATCTGAAATCATCCGCCAGTTCCAAGGGTCTTTAAATTTTAATCTCCATTTGCTTTTCTATTACCATATACCCAAGGCTATCAATTGCATAATCTCAGCTTCCCTAAGAAAGAATTATCACTAATAATTTGAGTTCCAGAAAACATATTTCTAAATAGAGTGGAGAAGGTGAAATTTCCTGAAAGTTCTGTTTAACAAGAACATGTGTATATATAATATAATATAATATATATATATATTATATTATATTATACACACACACACACACACACACACACACACACATCTTTTTATTTGTGTATGGTGTGCATGGGCACCTGCAGAGAGCAGACACCCTGGAGTTGGAGTTACAGGTGACTGTGTTGCTTGATCTGGGTGCTGGGACCCAAACTCGGGGCCTCTGTAAGAGTAGCAAGCACTTTCGTCTCTCTAGCTGATTAACAAGAACTTTTTTTACCAAACAGAATTTATATCTCCTAACTTCTAACATGGCTTCTGAATGTAGGGTAAAACAACCTATTAAGAAATAAACTGGTAATGGACAGTCTTAACATAAAAAGTGTGTGTAACCCACAAAAGCATCACCTTCCTAGAATTTGCAATTCAAAGGGCGTCATGCCCCACCTCCCACTCTGCCAGGAGCAAAGGGCAGGCAAAGAGGCTTGCTAGAAATAAGAATTTCGATCCCACCCCAGGTCCAACAAGAAGCTCCATTATAAGGTAAGCTCCCACATGACGCAAAAGCTCAGCTAGGAGGGCTGCCAGGAGGCCACATAGTTTGAGTTCCAGTATTTGAACACCAATCGTGGACGTTCCCTGTAGTTGGATCAAATTAAGATAAGTGCTTAAGAAGTTCATGTGGGGATAAAGACACCTACTATGAAACTTCTTATTGTGCTCTTTGTCTACAATTAAAACTCAGTTCTTCAGACCAATACATACATACATACATATGGAGTTAGAGTTACAGGTATACATATATATATATAAAACATATATATAAAAACATAATTTGGGTATAAGTTTATCATTACCCTGAGATGATATAATGATTTTAAGACCTCATTCGACAATTGACTCAATTCTACTGTGTGCAGACTGATGACTGACATGTAACCAGCTTAATAACTATGGCCAACTCTGTTATCCTGGTCTTGACATCCGCGGTTACTCTCTTGAGGGTGTCAAGCTGACTGACAAAAGCTTTCCTAATACTGCTTTCTTACCAATCATGGCTCCTGAGGTTACAGGAGAACACAGAGAGAAATGAACAGCTGAGCACCTCTAGATTTTAAATCACACACAAGTGATCACTGCAAAGTAATAGGTGTGCAGCTAGGGAAAAAAGTATGCAGGAAAAATGTCCATAAGGGACCCACACAAAATAGACAAGTGTGACCACAGTGAAGGAAATCACTCACGTGAGGGGGATAGTGTTGGCTTTTGACTGTCTCCGACTTTTCAAGGCCCGAAGTCTATCTCCTTGTGTCACTCCACTGATTTCATCGTCATCACTATACTGTACAAGTTAAAACAACAATTAACAGAAAAAAAGAAAACACTGAGCTATTAACTTAGGTTGCAACTGAAGTGAAGTGGCTATTTATCTAGACACATACAGGCATGCATGCACACACACACTCTTAAAAGTTTCTTCTGAATGCTACAATAGTTTTCAAAAATCAAACTACCAGCTACATTTCAAGACAATCAAAGCAGATTTTCAGTCACAGGACCCAAAGCGCTCTTTATAAAAGTGTAAAGATCCCTAATGGGCTTTTGGTTTTAGAACTTATAAAAGTTTGAACATCCATTCATTACCCCTTAACCTAGTATTGCTGCTTGCTCAAACTGTGGTTCTTTGGAAGTTCTCCATTTGAACTACTAAAGTGGCTGAGATGAGGATGGGGCAGTGGGGCAGAGGAGTAGAAAGACCCGTGTGAAGAGCTTATTCCCTACTGCTAATTTCCATCTGTGTTTAGGAAGTGAACATTTTACAAGCACACAACTTTCTTTTCAGTCAAACATTTTTAGAGAGGATTGTATCTAAACACAACTGTGTGGTGATAGCCCCTTCAAAACCACTTTATTATCTTTACCTATAATTTTCTCCATGCCCTACAAGGTTCTCAACAGCATTTACAGCAATAACAACAGCGTGATCGGGACGGTTCCATTACCGGATCAGGCTCTTGCTTGTCTTGATTCTCAAGCCCATCTATTGAAATGTCATCAACATCTGAGAGTTGCTGGGAGAAGGCTGCTCTGAGGGGTCCATTCTCCTGCCCTCTCAACTTTTGACGGAAATATTCGCCTTCCAGCCAGAGGCTTGACTGTTTCCTAGAATGTTTAAGCAACATCAAAACACAGCTTTCCATAAGGACACCCCTCTTCCCCTATCTCTACCCCACAGTCCTGTCGTTACAGGAGACAAGCTTCCAGTGTACTTACATGACCAGAAACTGCTGCTGGGGCCCAATCACTGAACCGGGTCTGCAGATTCTAAGCCAGGCAATGCTCTCAGCTGCCGTCATCCTATAATGCTTCATGAGATAGCAGCCTATCAGAGTACCTGTTCGACCAAGGCCAGCTAGAAAAACAAACCAATCAATGAAACCTGGTTGCACATTCTCCAGACTTTTCTGAATAAGAGGAAGAAAAAACAAAAAATGAAAGCCTTCCCAGGGCTTTGGTTCCCTCTACATCAGTCCGTCTGAAGAGGTGTAAGAAGGCCAGCATGAGGGCTCACCCTCAAGACCTAAATGGGATGCAGCCCAGGAGCAGAGACTTAATCCTTCTAAAATTCCCTGAGGAATCGATGTGAAGGCAAAGACTGAAAATCATTTTCTGAACAGGGATTCTTAAGAAATGTGGTATTTGGAGCTGGAGAGGAGACTTAACAGTTAAGAGCACTTATTGCTCTTACAGAGGACCCAGGTTCAGTTCCCAGCACCCACTATCAGGTGGCTCATAACTGCCTGTAACTCCATTTCTATAGGAGATCAGACATCCTCTGGCTCAAAGGCACCTACATGCATGTGGTACACATATTCACTCAGGCACACACACCACACATGCACATAAATAAAAATAATTTTTAGCAAGGCGGCAGTAGTGCATGCCTTTAATCCCAGCACTCGGGAGGCAGGTGGATCTCTGTGAGTTCGAGGCCAGCTTGGTCTACAGAGCAAGATCCAGGACAAGAACCAAAACTACATGGAGAAACCCTGTCTCAAAAAACCAAAAAATAAAAATAAAAAGTTTTAAAGTGTTTTCTGCCCAAGCCTTACATTTGCTATCAAATCCAACAGTATTTCCTACTCAACGTCTGTCTGAACCTGTTCACGCTCTGCTTTAGGGGAGGAGTGCTGGGGTCATGTTAGACAAGCACTCTTCCTTCTGTTTTGTGTGTGTCTCTGTATGTGGTGTGCATGTGAGTGTGTACATACGGTTGTTTTGAGGGAGCACGAAGAAGCCCTAAGCAGAAGTCTGAGAGTCTTCCTTAGCTGCTCTCCACCTGATTCACTAAGGCAGGGTTTCTGAACTGAACCTGACAGATCTCACCCACATGGCTGGTTTGGCTAGCTAATCTGGTCTGGAAATCCTGTCTCTTCCTTCCCTGTAACTATCGATGGGCTACATGACCACCTAGAATTTATGTGTCTTCTAGAGATCTGAACTCCAATCTCACAGTTGGCGTGACAAGCAGTTTAGATGATGAATCATCTCCTAAGCCCTCTTTTCTCCTCTTATAGAGACCATTATAATTAACTCCTATGATGGTTAATATGTTGTGTCAACTTGGAAGGAATTTTTGATTAAGATCAGCATTTCAACTGGTGCCATTTTTAGTAAGCACACTGCTTTCCATAATGTGGGCAGTCCTCTCCCAATCCATTCAAAGTCTGAACAGAAAAAAAGACTAGCTTTCCATCCAAAAGCAGGTCTGCCCTCATGCCTCTAGGCAGGCAGCTCACAGTACAGATGATGGACTCACTGACTCCACAGTTTCTTTTAATAAACCATTCTATACATAAACATGCTATTACTTTCGACTGCTAGAGGACCCTCCTTGATGCACACAACTTAGAAAAGGGGTGCCACTGAAGCAAATACACAAAACTGTGGCAGTGGCTTTGGAACTGGAAACGTATGGGGAAGAATTGAGGCAGCTGCTAGGAGAAGTCACCCCAGACAAGAGTAAGCAATGAACAGTTTCAGTCTCCTGCCACCCACAGTGTGACAGTGGCTGTGGGCTTTTTATACATGGTTTTTATTAGGTGGCGATAGTTCCCTTCTAGCCCTACTTTGTTCTCAGTGGTTTTATCACAAAAGAGAGATGCCAAATTCTGCCAAATGCCATTCCTATATTAGCAGAGACGATGTGGCTTTTGGACTTCACTGTTACCGAGGAGATTCACACTGACTTTTCTATGTTGTATTACTTCTGTAACTCCAGGGCAAATGCTTCAGAGAGTGAATAATATGTTACTATATTGTATTATCTCAGACAGGTCTCCTGTACCCCAGACTGGCATCAAACGCACTATGTGGCTGAGGGTAATCCTGAATTCTGATCCTCCTGCGTCCACAACCCAGCGCTAGGACTGCAGGTGTACACATGGCACTCAGGTTACTCAGTGCTGTAACCAAACCCAGGGCGTCACATTTGCAAAGCTTCCCAGAATCCATTTGCTGTGCTACTGAATTCAGCTGGTAACACTTTGTTAATCATGCTTTCGATGCTGACGGCTTCTTTGCTTCAGTTTGGTTTAGTAGCAAGGAAATCCTGGCCTCATACAGCTTATGAGGTGTTTGTTCTCTTAAGTCTCTGAGAGTTGGTGTTAGTGACGGGTGATGATCTGGTCCAGTGGTTTCCTTCATCAGGAACTTCAATTCTACCTTCTCAGTGTTTTGAACTTTAAACCCACCTTCTACATTTCACGGTGACTCTGCATTGGTAGGTTTTGTGTTTCCAGGAATTTTCCACTTCATTTCCATTATCCAACTTTTTGTTCTGCAACTGTTCACCGAAATCTCTTACTGATTGTCCACATGTGTCCACACACACAGGTGTCCAGCTTTATCACTCTCTACCTTATCCCCTTGAGACAGGGTCTCTCAATGAACCTAGAGATTGCTGGTTTCAGCTAGGCTGACAGGCCACTAAGCCCGGCAATCTTCTTGGCTGCCCCAACACCCGCGCCCCCTCCGCCCCCACCCCCCAATGCAGAGGTTACAGGTACATACAACCATGCCTAACTTTTTACATGTGGATCCAAGTTCAGGTCCTCTTATCATTTCCACAGACTTTCCATTATTGTCTCCACTGTCACTTCTCATTGTAATAATTTGTAATAATTTTCTCTTTTATCTTCATCAATATAAAAAAAGGTTTGTGATTTCTGTTAGATTTTGTGAAGAACCAATCCTGGATTTTGTTGATTTCTTACTGGTTTCCTATTTTGTGTCACAGTATTTATATTGCAATAGCAACAATACTTAAAAAGCTATTACTAGTCTTTAACCTGTCTGTGTGCATATTTACCTCTACCAGAAATACTTGCTTCTTCATAAGGCTTTGAGCCACTGTCTGGGGTCCTTCCACTTCACCTAACAGAGCACAGGTCAAGTTGTAACAACTCCCCCAGCACGTGACCATCTGAGGGTAGTTAATTTCTCCTTATTTTTGAGAGAGTTTTGAAGACTTAATGTAGGGTTTTTCCTTCAATAATTAAATTATTATCAATTCACTGCCTCTGGCCTCCACGGTTTCTGATGAAAGATCTGGTAATTAGAGTGTTTCCTCTCTTGATTCTTCCAGTATCTCTGTCTTTAGACAGTCTCATTATAAAATATCTTCATGTGAGTTTCTGAGTTTGTTTTGTTTGGAGTTTGCTGAGTTTGGAGAATGTTACAATCGTGTCTTTCATCAAAGTGGGAAAATCTTCCAGGAAAACAGTCTACCTCCTTTCTCCACCAGGCATATCTGGTCTGTCGGGCTTCTGCCAGGTTTTGCTCCTTTCTCTTCCTGACTCCTTTTTCCTTATTCTTCAGACCTGGTGACTTTTTAATGGCTCTGCTCTTTACAGTCACTGCTTATTCCTTCTGCCTGAGCAAGTCTGCTTTGGAACCCTGCCAATAAGTTTTTAAATTTATTTCCAGAATTGCTTTTCGGGTTCACTTTTTATGGTTTTTGTCTTCTACTGATACTTGGATTTTGCTCATACATTTTTTTCTCCCCCGCCCCTTTTTTTCACCATGAACACAGTTGAGGTAGCTATTTTAAATCTATCTGATCCTTGTCAAGGATAGTCTGTGTCCATCCTGTCTCCCCTCAGACAGTGTTTCTCTGTCTAACAGTCCTGGCTATCCTGGAACTCTCTTTGTAAACCAGGTTGACCTCAAACTCACTGAGATCTGCCTGCCTCTGACTTCCAAGTGCTGGGATTAAAGGCGTGCGCCACCACTGCCCGGCTCAAGGATAGTTTTTGTGGATTTTTTTTATACTCTCCTGGCTCCCCTCCCACTTTACTTTTTGGTATGCCTTGTCATCTTCCACTGCAAAATGAACATTTGAATGTTGTGATTATAGCTACATTCCTAACTCTAGAAATTAATTTTTTTCTTTATCTTACTACTGATTTTTTCTTACTGATTATATCCCTTGTCCCATTAATTAACTAGACTAGCTCACATTAGAGTTAAATAAACTCTACTATATTCATATATGCATCATTTAGTCATTCATGGAACATTTAATATCAGAAACTGTTACAGCTGCTAAAATACATCTTGTCAGATCTTATTCTCCATACAAGCTGCAGTAAGACCTTGCTCTATCATTGACAACCAAAGGACTTACCACATAGGCACATGACAGACATTTGAATAAATACACACATTTCAATGCAATAAACCTTTGTAGGCTTCCTCATGAAAATAATTTACTATGCTTTTCATATGATTTTAGGGTTTTAAAATCATTCTTTCTGGCCACTGAGATAGGTCAACTGGGAAAAGCACTTGCTGCCAAGTCTGATGACGTTCGTTCCATCCCCAGGAACTACATGGTAAGAGAATGGACTCTCACAAATTTTCTTCTCACAAACACACACACACACAAAATAATGTCATAAAAAAACTTTAAATCATTCTTTCAAAAATACAGTGTCATGTGTCTTTCCATGTAACATAAACAGATACAACACATACACTCATACATGTGCACTGCCTTTAACAACACATATCTACACATACACTCATACATGTGCACTGCCTTTAACTGAACCTAGCCGCTTACCTTTGCAATGCACTGCAATGGCACCCTCAACATTTTCACAAATTTCCAGGAATTCTTGGACAATTGCCTCAGCAGGGGTGCTGCCATCCGGAAAGAAAAGATCATGGTGATCGAAACCAGCATCCGTAAAGCGCTTAGCATCATACATCCTTTTATTCAGACGAATAATGGTAGTTACATTGTGATTCTTAAAGTATGGAATGTAAGTCTCAGGAGAATGTTGGTGGTAACCTACATAAAGAAATGTACCACATCTTGTAAAATGCAGGAAGAAAATAATGGAAAATAATTTCACCTGAAAGTGGGTGGAAACAGTGTCTGGATTGGGGACTGAATATCAATTTGATTATAACTGTAAAAAACAAAAGTTTAAAAAGTTAACACCCAGGCAAAACAACATGCTCAAATAACCAAGAGTGGTTAAATCATAAAGACTGAGTCAAGCTTTTCTGAATTCTTTGGTGTCTTTCTAACCTGGGCTGGGTCACCCCTCCGTAGGTAACTCAGGAGCCCCACTCCCAGGAGGTGACCATAGCAAGGCTGAGCCTATCACAGACACCCAACCATACAGCACACCAGAACTCAGGACTTGAAGTATCCTCCTGCCTCACTCAGACTCACACTACTGTACCCAGCTTGTCATTCTAGTTCAAAAGGAAAAAGACAAGGCTATAATGGTTCCATAGTTTTGCATACCACTTTCAAGCCTGGATCTTGAATGAGGTCCACAGAAGGCAAGAAACCGCTCTGGTATTATCCAGTTGAAATCTCCATTTTCTGCTTTCTGCCAATGAAAACCAGCACGATTAACCTCTGAACCACACCTCTTTCCACCTCCCTTCTCAATACTCAGAGTTCAAAGCCATCGGCTTTAGCATGTCAGCTGTTTACTAACGAGCATAAAACAGGTATCTATTTCGCCCTGCTTTGAGTATTCCCAAGGGATTGCTAACCTTCCTATTGTCAATCACCTTGTTTCAAAAGTGTTTTGCTGGGCAGTGGTGGTGCATGCCTTTAATACCAGCACTCAGGAGGCAGAGGCAGGCAGATCTCTGTGAGTTCGAGGACAGCCGGGCTACAGAGTGAGTTCCAAGGAGAAGCGCAAAGCTACCCAGAGAAACCCTGTCTCGATAAATAAATAAATAAATAAATAAATAAATAAATAAATACATACATACATACATACATACATACATACATAAATAAATAAATAAATAAATAAATAAATAAATAAAAGTGTTTCTTTGCTTAGGTCATCAGCCTAGAAAACATACTCTGTACCCAGTACTCTGTACTCAATTATTATATTTCAATTACCTGGTTATTTGAATAAATTCTTATTATAGGAAATTAATTCCTATTAAGAAAGCAAACTCACCAGGCGGTGGTGGCGCATGCCTTTAATCCTAGTACTTGGGAGGCAGAGGCAGGCAGATCTCTGTGAGTTTGAGACCAGCCTGGTCCTCACAGTGAGTTCCAGGACAGCCAGAGCTGTTACACAGAGAAACCCTGCCTTGAAAAACCATAAACAAACAAACAAACAAACAAATGAACAAACAAGGAAGGAGAAGAGAGAGAGAGCAAGCTTTTCTAGTGTGTGTGAGGACTCTAGAAGGTCCCCCACCCAGTATCCTAAACAGACAAAGTAACTTCTGATATAAAAAATTTTGACTAAAATTGAGTAAAAACAGGAAAAGTGTTGGATAGAAGCACTGTCCCCACTGCTTCTATTTAACAAGAGGGAAACAACGAAGCACACTTTACATCGTGTGTGTGTGTGTGTGTGTGTGTGTGTGTGTGTGTGCGTGCGCGCGTAGGACAGAGGACGGCCTTGGTTGTTACTCTTCAGGTGCTGTCCACTTGGCTTTTTTTTTAGGCAGGGTCTCACTATGTAACCCTGGCTTGTCTGAACTAGCATGCTATGTAGACGAGGATGCCTTTTAACTCAACAGAGCTCTGTCTGCCACTGTTTTCCAAGTGCTGGGATTACAAGTATGCGCCACCATGCCAGCATAACAAAACTTTTAAGAAATAAAAGGCAATTGACTGTGACGGAGATAATCAGTGCCAAAAGAGAAAAATCACTTAACAATTGCGGTAATAGAAACACACAGTGCTTCATGTGCCAACTGCTATTTTCAGTATTTCATATACCCAGAAAAAGTATTTTTTAAGTGTGTATGGTGTACATCTGTGTGTACATGTTCACATGTGTGAAGGCCTAACGCTGGCATCTGATGCTCAATCAGTTTCCACTTCATTTATTGGAACACGGTCTCTTGCTAAAGTCAGAGCTTGCAGACTCTACTAGGCTGATCTGGCTCAATCCCTCAGGGATCATCTGTCTTTTTAAGTGCTGGGATTACAGGTCTCAGCCATGTATGCCTACCTGCCTGGCTTTTATGTGGCTTCAAGGGATCCAAACTCTGGCCCTCAAGCTTATACAGCAAGTACTTTATCCACTGAGCCCTCTCCCCAGCCCCAAGAAAGTATATTTTATTTTACACATTTAGTTTTATGTAATTTAGTTATATAGTCACCAAAGGGCGTAGCGAGAGACTGCACTTCAGAAACAGATTGGCATTACAAGGAGGATACAGTTGTCACGAGTGAATCTCAGGATATGCTTTATATTTGCCACAAAAACAGCCTAGATCATCAACAAAACACTTCAATTATACTTCAGACTTCTAAATAAAAAATTCTTTAGAAATTGATAGCAAAAGCTAATTATCTGTGGACTTGGGATATGAATGCATAGAGTGCTGTCTGAAGAGCCTCCTCTCCTTTTGAGGAAGTTCACTCAAAATAACTACAACAGGACACAAAGGCAAGAGTCTATAAGCTTTCCTGCCTCCAAAGGGCCTTCAAAACAGTATCTTAGTCATCTGTTCGGAGGAGGGCACCTAGAGTCAAAGATTTTCTGTTTTTCTTAATCTTTAAGATAAAAAAACATAAGAGGATATCTGTGAATTTGCCTGCCTGAACACATTCTCCTGCCCCGTCTGCTTTTTCTGATAGGGTAGGCCAGACAGGGCCAGAGAATTCAGTCAGGGAATAATAATCCACATTCCCACATGAGTGTCCGCGTGCATGTGCCAAAGGTCAACTTCTACTCCACCTTATTTTTTGAGACAAGTTTTCTCATTGAATCTGGAGCTTACTGATTTCAGCTAAAATAGCTGACCAGTGAGCCCAGGGACACTACTCTCTACACCTCCCCAGTGTTGGCATTATAGGTGTTTACTGTTACATTGGTCTCTTTTCCTGGGTGCTGGGATAAACCCAGGTTCTCGTTGTTGCACACTAAGCATTTTATCTACTGAGTCATCTCCCCAGCTCAGCTCCTGGATTTTCAATCTGCAGATTCCAGTAAAATGTTCACTTTTATTTAAAACATTTGGGACTCTTTGTTTTTAGATAGGGTGTTACTTACATAGTAGCCCTGGTTGGCCTGAAACTCACTATGTAGACAGCTGGCCTCAAACTTGCAGAGATCTACCTACTGCTGCCTCCTGAGTGCTAGGATTAAAGGTGTTTGCTACCAGGCCTAGCTATTTGTACTTAGTTTTCATAACTTGAAACAGAAGTGTTCAGACAATACAAACAGGCTATAACAACAGCTGAGTATACCTTGGTAGACACTAAACACAGCAACTAATCACCTTTCTGTGCCCACACTGAGGACTCCAAACCTGTATCCTCATCACTACAGGAAGGTCACCAAGACTGAAAACTGTTGTTAGTTGGTTTTGCTCTTTGATCTTTTGCAGGGCTCACCACCCAGCTCCCAAATAAATACACACACGGAGGCTTAATCTTACTTATGAATGCCTGGTCTTAGCTTGGATTGTTTCTAGCCAGCGTTTCTTATCTTAAATTATCCCACCTACTTTTTGTCTCTGGACTTTTTCCTTTTCTTCTGTATATCTTACTCTCACCCGTGGCTGGCTGTGTGGCTAGAAGGCTGTCCTCTACCATCCTCCTCTCCTTGTTCTCTTCCTCTTTCTTCTTATCCTCCCAGGTTTCTCCTATTTATTCTCTCTGCCTGTCAGCCCCGCCCATCCTTTCTCCTGCCATTCAGTTCTTTATTAGACCATTAGGTGTTTCACACAAAGTAACACAGCTTCACAGAGTTAAACAAATGCAATATAAAGAAATGCAACACATCTTTGCATCATTAAACAAATGTTCCACAGAATAAACAGATGTAACACACCTTAAAATAATATTCCACAACAAAAAACAGAACTTTAAGCATTGCAAAGGCTATACTGAACACCGAACAGGAACCATTTATTAACTCAGAAACCACCACTAAGAATCATGAATGGAGAACCAAGGTAAGGGTTAAAGAGGTGATGTTTCTTACCCTTCAATTTCATTTTTTTTCCTTATGTGCATGCATGTCTGTGCATGTTTGTATGTTGGGCGCATATATGTGTGACAATGTGTGGTACAAGCATGTGACAGCCCAAGACTGACATCAGTTGTTTTCCTTGATTAAGGGAGGGTCTCTCAGCTGAACCAAGAGCTGATACACAGACAGGTCACCATGCCCACTAAGTATTTCTGTGGGTTCTGGGCATTCAAACTCCATTTCTCACTGAAGCATCTCCCTAGCTATATATACTACTTAATATTTAAAAAAAAAAAAAAAAAAAAAACCCAAAAACTTCTTATTCTTTTAGGCAGGATAAGAGAGGGAAAATGTGTGGGCAAATAGTAGAATTCTGGTCATAACACAAATTTCCACTAATAAGTTCTGGATCTTGTTTGCAGGCTAATCCTGCATCTTTCTTGTTTGTTTGTTTGTTTTGTGTTTCTTTCTTTCCTTTTTTTTGAGTCAGAGTTTCTTTGTGTAGCTTTGTCTATCCTAGAACTCACAGAGATCCACCTGCCTCTGCCTCCTGAGTGCTGGGATTAAAGGTTGTGCCACCATCAGCCACCACCACCCAGCTGTTCCTGCATCTTACTTGTCCCCAGCACACACACTGCAGAGATAACATGTGAATGAGCTTGACTCTGGGAACCATTTCACAAGCACATATTCAACAAAACATTATCTGGACCAGCAGGGTAACTTAACAGTCAAGCACTTGCCACACAAGCCAGAACCTATGTAGATGTGAAAGGAGAAAACTGATTCTGCTAAGATGTCCTCTGACCTCACAAGCTCACCGATACACATCATACACACAATAAATAATAACAGTAACAATAACAACAAATAAATTAAAAGCATTATTTTGTACACTAATATAGATAATGTTGGTCAATGACACCTCTGCAGTGGGTAGCCATTCCAGCTTTGACCTGGAAGTTCCAAGCCCCATTGAGACTTTGGCAACTGTCACGCCTACAAGGCGGGGCCAAGGGAGGCGCCTGGAGACCCGAGATCTGGATGGGCCAGCGATCGCTCTCTGTTCCGGGACCCTGGACCCTGGACGGTGGAGGTGGGCCAAGCAGAGCTCCAGAGAACACCAGTGGACTGCGATACACCTTTCCCAGACCCCGCGACCTACCTATCCCTTAATTTGTAAGTTACGCCATTAAATAAATCTCCTTTTAACTACGTGGAATGGCCTTAATAATTTCACCAATACACCTCAGTAAAGTGTGGAGTAGGGAGACTGAAAAGAGGAACCTGGAACTTACCTCATAGTGTTCATATTCAACGAGGTTAAATGCGTTGAAATTAAAGAAGCCGAACTGCATTGCCTAAAATACCAAAGAAAACTTTTAAGAACAAAGGTGTAAATATAAGGCCAGTTTCCTACCCAATTTTCTACTAAGCACCAGGAAATGTCCTAGAAAGTATTACTGTATTCATGTTGAGTATTTTCTAAGGATGTAGGAGTTTTGTTCACCTATTTGTTGCCGGGCCCCTATACCACACCCTCAGCCCTAAAACTGTCTGACAAAGCAATTGTGACCCACTTATTTTTATATAAAACTTTGTAACAAATTAATTACTGTCCAAATTACTGTGCTGAACTCAAAGTCCAATGCCTGGAAGGAAGTTACTGTATTACTGTTGGTACAGGATGGGAACTAGGACCTGCATGTGCTAAGCCAACACTGCTAGAGTAACATTCCCAGTCCTACAGTTGCTGTATTGCATATACACAAACAAAACTTGGAGGAAAAAAAGAATTCAACTTTTTTTTTTTTTTTGGTTTTTCGAGACAGGGTTTCTCTGTGTAGCTTTGCGCCTTTCCTGGGACTCACTTGGTAGCCCAGGCTGGCCTCGAACTCACAGAGATCCACCGGCCTCTGCCTCCCGAGTGCTGGGATTAAAGGCGTGCGCCACCACCGCCCGGCAACTTTTTTTTCTTTTAAATCAGACACTCTCAAAACTAATACTGTATCTAGAACCAAATTACTTAACTCTCTTACTAGTATCTTATTTTTGTGATGCTGGGGTTGAACCCTTGGCCTCTCACATGCTAAACAAGTTCTCAACCAATTGACTGACAACCCCAGCCTGCCTCCTGTCTCCTGTCTGTGCCTTTCTATCCCATTCATGCACAGAAGCAATGAGAAATTCAGAATGAGCTGTTTATTGGTTTGGGGTCACTTTAATGTTAACTGGGAATGGAGTACTTCTGACCTTACACACCTCTTCTGAAGAAATTCTAACAGAGCTGTGTAGAACAACACCTTATCTTCTTCAGACACTCACCTTCTTTACTGCATGAAAACAGTCGAGGAGTGTAATATAGAAACTGCAGCTTCCGTAGGCAGCGTCTCTGAAATTCCCAAAGTGTTATTCTGTTAACGCTCTACAGCATACTCACCCCAAGACAAAGCTGACTAGAATTCAATGTCCAGTGATCTCTACAGCACAGTTATACTAAAATATTCAAATTTAACTGGATAACTTTTTTCTAACTCTTTTATTTATTTATTTAACTTTATTTTGTGTACATTGGTGTCAGATCCCCTGGAACTGGAGTTACAGACAGTTGTGAGCTGCCATGTGGTTGCTGGGAATTGAACTGGGGTCCTCTGGAGAGCAGCCAGTGCTCTTAACCATTGAGCCAACACTCCAGCCCCCTTTCTAATTCTTTTTTTTTTTTTTTAAGATTTATTTATTATGCATATGGTGTTCTGCCTGCATGTATCCCTGCACATCAGGAGAGGGCACCAGATCTCATTACAGATGGTTGTGAGCCACCATGTGGTTGCTGGGAATTGAACTCAGGACCTCTGGAAAAGCAGCCAGTGCTCTTAACCTCTGAGCCATCTCTCCAGCCCCCCCCCCCCTTTCTAATTCTTAAGGGTCAAAATTCCAATAAAATCACAAGAGCAAAAGCATCCAAACCTTTGGTAAAACCACTCCACATCTGAACAAGTGCATAATTAGCCAACAGACGGTGCCACTCAAATACCATACCAGCCGCATTCATCAATGGAGAGAGCTGCACTCTCAAAGTGCAGCAGTGTAAGGACTTTGACGGTAACCGTTGGCTACTACCACTAACCTCCTAATGTGACTGACAACTCTTCAACCCAGTAAAGGCACACTGATTCAACCTTGCAAAGAATTTGATGCATAATTTCTTTGAGAATTATGATGGCTCAGGGCATGCCCTACTCAAGTCCTACCTCACACTATCTGAACACACATGCTTGCTTCATGAATACCCTGACCAAAGTCATCAGGAGCCATCCTCAATTGTTCTTCCACTTTATTCATTGAGGCAAGATCTCTCAGCAAACCCAGAGGCCACCAATATGACTGGCCTTGCTAGCCTAGCTTGCTCTAGGGATACACTGTCTTTGCTTTCTAAGGCAGGAATTACAGGCAGGCTGTCATTCCCACCCAGCATTTGTGTATGGGCTGTGTAGAATCTAAACTCTGGTCCCCAGGCCTGTGTAGCAAGTGCTTTAACCACTGAGCCATCCCCTCAAGATGCAATTAGATGATCCCAGACACATGAAGTTCAAAAGCAAACAGGCCGAAGTGACAGCAGAAAGGTAACAAGAGAGATCTTTGGGAGGATGGTAACTGACTGCGGAGGGCAGGAGGGATTCTTCAGGGGTAAGAGCCATGTTCTACATCCCGAAGTGTGGCAGTCACACATACATGTGTAATACTTAGCTGTACAATTCAGATTAGTGTTTTGGGCTGGGGTGCAGGCTCAGTGATGTGTACTTGTGTAATGCTTGAGTTCAATTCCTAAGTGTGGCATACATCCATGTGCACATGCACACATATGTATGCAATGTTTGGTTTTCTAACATTAGTGCTTTCTTTCCAAATTGTATGTATCAACTTTTAAAAAGGAGAAAGGGCTATGAATACTGAGCAAACACTGGATGAGGGAAAGCACTATGGTTTGTTTGTTTTTATGTGTATAACCTCTGCAAGTAGGTAGTACTATAGTTTCTATCTTCAGAGTACAAACTTAAGTCTGTAAAGGAGACAGCAACAAGCAAAGCTGAGAGTCAGTTCTCTGATAACCAAAGCATGCTGTTGACGACCACAAGACGGGCGTGGTAGTGCACTCCTATAACCCTAGCATTTGGGAAGTGCAAACAAAAGATCAGGGAAGAATGCAAACTTTATCCCAAACAAAGAGAAGAGAGAGACACACACTTACAAAAAGTACAACAAAAACTAAGAAGCAGAGTATTTCTATAGACTACAGTAAGACAAGTATATTCCTTTAGACTGTTTTTTTCTCACTAAGACAGAGAATAAATGACATAGTTTAAGAAGAAATCATAGGCTACTAGGTGTGGTATCACACACCTTTAATTCCAGCACTTGGGAGGCAGAGGCTGGAGCAACTTTGTGAGTTTGAGGTGGTCGGTTTACATAGTGAGTTCCAGGACAGCTAGAGCTGTAGAGACCCTGTCTCAAAAAAAAGAAGAAGAAAAAGAAGAGGAGGAGAAGAAGAAGAAGAAAGAAGAGGAGGAAGAGGAGAAGGAAGAGGAAAAAGAGGAAGAGGACTGGGAGGAGGAGGAAGAGGAGGAGGAGGAGGAGGAGAAGAAAGAGGAGGAGGAAGAAGAGGAAGAGGACTGGGAGGAGGAGGAAGAGGAGGAGAAATAATTATAGGCCAGGCATGGTGGCACACACCTTTAGTTCCAGCATTCAGGAGGCAGAGGTGAGCATATCTCGAGTTTGAGGCCAGCCTCGTCTACATAGAAAGTTCCAGGCCAGCAAGGCATACATACATAGTAAGAGCCTATCTCAAAAAATAAATAAATAAAATAAAGACATAATGAGAGAAAAGCAAATTAGAACTATCTAGGGAGGTTGTAGTAGGAACTGGAGTTGAGGCTGTTTGTGCTACAGTCTAGCAAAGAAGTAAGCCCATTTACATTTTGGGTCCTTGTGTTGTAAGCTGTGAGAATAGCACAAGTGATTAACACTTTGGAGAATTCTGGGGAACAAGGTCACCATTGTGCAACAGCAGATCTAAATGTCTGCCTCTCACTCAGGGATCACAGATAGAAGAACTGCTTCTAACAGACACAAACAGTTGCGATTACAAGTTAAAAAGATAAGTGGCTTACTTCAGCTCAGTGCCTTTCTCTCTTCCTACCCACCTCAAATCACAGAACGTTTGGGATAGTCCGTGAGGCAACAAGGAAGGGCATTCTAGCTCAGCCATGGCTCTCAACCACTGTATCACTGAATTCTGAACAATGCCAAAACAATGGAAGCCCTGTTTCAAGGAGGAGAGAGGGTTCTACAGAGCAACCTGAAGAGGACACTGCCTTCAGTTAGGGAGACACTCTAGAGTTCATCTACAAGATGCCAGATTCATCAGCTTACAGCTTTTCAAACATTTTTTTTTTCTTTAAAATTCTTTCAAGACAATCACACCGTAGGTCGAGGTGAGGCTGCTGTCCACTCAGAGCAGGAGCACTGCCACCTGCCACCCTCACACACAGCTGCCTGACAGGCTGCAGGTGGGTCTACATCAGCAGCCACACCTGCTACCTCTGCTGGCTGTACTCCAGGGGAAAGGGGTCAAGTGCTGCCCCAGAAAGTTCCTCAAACTCCCAGAGATGGGCTGCACAAGAGCCTGGGTTTCTCCCCTGGCTACCTCACAGCTTGGTTCTCAGCCAAGAAAGTCCTACTCCACCACTGTCATTTCTAGGGTCAGAAAGAAGGTGAAGTCAGGAGACATTTTGAGACTCAGAACAGGAGTGGGGATGTGGAAGTCACTGGCATCCAGCAAAAAGAGGTCAGAAGTGACAACATTCCAAAGGTGTCACTGCCAGGACTCCTGGGTCTATGGTGTCATGCCGCTTAACATACCTTCCTGTCAGGACTTACCTTACCCCCCCCCCCCAAGAATTACCACCAAAAAGTTCCTGGTAAGGGTATAATTAAATAGATGTACCACATTACCTGTACATTTATAGTAACGGTAATAAAAACTACAAATTGGCGTAAAAACAGCTGGATCAAGGGAATCAAATCAAAGACCCAGACTTAAATCCACACACCTACGGACACTTGATTTTTCACAAAGAAGACAAATTTATACAATGGAAAAAAGAAAGTATTTTCAACAAATGGTGCTGTAATAACTGGATGTCAGCCTGTAGAAGAATGCAAATAGATCCACATCTATCACCCTGCACAAAACCTCAAGTCTAAGGGGATCAAAGACCTCAAGATACACTGGGCCTGAGAGAAAAGAAAGTGGGAAATAGCCTTGAATGCATTGGCACAGGAGACAACTTCCTGAACAGAACACCAATAGCACAGGCACTAAGATCGACAATTAATAAATGGGACCTCATAAAACTGAAAAGCTTCTGTAAAGCAAAGGATATTGTCAACAGGACAAAATGGCAGCCTACAGAATGGGGAAAGATCTTCACCAACCCTACATCCAACAGAGGGTCAATTTCCAAAATATATAAAGAACTAAAGAAACTAAACATCAAAAAAACCAAATAACCCAATTAAAAGATGAGGTACAGATTTAAACAGAGAATTCTCAACAGAAGAATCTCAAATGACCGACAAACATTTAAAGAAATGTTCAACATCTTCAGCCATCAAGGAAATGCAAATCAAAACGACTCTAAAATTCCATCTTACACTTGTCAGAATGACTAAGATCAAAAATACAAACAAGTGACAGCTCATGCTGGTGAGGATATGGAGCAAAGGGAACACTCCTCCACTGCTGGTGGGAGTCCAAACTTGTACAGCTACTTTGGAAATCAATAGGCAGTTTCTTAGAAAACTGGGAATCGATCTACCTCAAGACCCAGCTATACCACTCTTGAGAATATTCCCAAAGGATGCTCCATCTTACCACAAAGACACTTGCTCAACTATGTTCACTGCAGCATAGCCAGAAACTGGAAACAACCTAGATGCCCCTCAACTGAAGAATGGATAAAGAAAATGTGATACATTTACATGATAGAGTATTACTGAGCTGTTAAAAACAATGGCATCATGAAATTTGCAGGCAAATGGATGGAACTAGAAAAAAAATCATCCACAGTGAGTTATCTTGAACCCAGAAAGACAAACATGGTATGTACTCACTTTATAAGTGGATATAAGCTATAAAGTAAAGGATAACCACCTCTCATCCCCCTCATCCACTCCTCCATTTCAATTCACAAAAGGGCAGGCCTCCCGTGGATATCAACCAAATATGGCTTATCAAGTTGAGTAAGACTAGGAACTTCTCCTCATATTAAGGCTGGATAAGGCAACCCAGTGGGAGGAATAGGGTCCCAAAGTCTGTCAAAAGTGTTAGAGACAGCTCTAGAGAGGTGGTAGGGGGACTGGGAGAACAGGAGGGAAGGGAAACTGTGGTTGGGATGTAAATAATTAATTAATTAAAAAATCATTTAAGAAAAATAAAGAAAAAGAATTATCACCCAAAAGCTCCTGGTAAGGGTCTGATCATTACCTATACATTTACCTGAAAGGGATATAGGCTGTATCTCCAAAGATTAATGTTCTATATGCGTCTTCTGGAGTCCTTCCCAAATATATAACCTATATTTGGAAAGAAAAGAAAAGGGCAATTTACCTCTAAATGACACAGTTCTGTCACCAAGAAGCAATTTTTACACAAGCTCTAGCCAATTAGCAGAGCCAAGTTCTCAGGCTCCAGGATCCTATCAGTGAGTTAATTGTTTCAACCTGCCAGAGAATCCTCCCCGCCATATGAACGCTGAGTGCACCAACACTTCAAACAACCTGTGCTAAGAAGTGGAGCGCTTTAAAAACACATTTTCCAGATCCAGATGTTTGAGTAACATGCTTTAAATTCTCCTTCCTGAGTATCCTCAGAAGTGAAAGTGGAGCTGGGGAGAGGAGTGGGAGGAGGTGGTAACCCAAAAGCAGGGCTGACGAATCTTATTTACTTATTATTATTATTATCATCATTATCATTGTGTGTGAATATCCCCATCAGTACTACTATCTTTGGAACTGACATGGTAGAAAGGAGACAACCAAAGATCAAACTCAGATCCACAGACTTATGCCTTGCTGGTCCCAAAATATTTTTTAAGCTATTTATATATTTTTTATGCTATAAGTGTTTTTGCCTTTGAGTGTATGTGTGCACCATGCACATGCAGTACTGAGGAAGCCAGAGAGGGTGTTGGAGGTACAGAAAATTGTGAGCCGCCACATAGGTGCTGGGAATTGAACCCAGATCACCTATAAAATCAGCTAGTGAGCCATCTCTCTAGTTCTCCCACTTCATTATAATATACATATACATATATATATATATATATACACACACACACACACATATACATACGTGTGTGTGTGTGTGTGTGTGTGTGTGTGTGTGTGTGTGTGTGTATTGCAGTGTTGTGGACTGATCCCAGTGCCTCAGGCATGCTAGAAAGGAGCCTAACACTGAGACATACATACTCTTGTCCAAAACAAAGACCTTGATTCGCTCTCTCACTGTGAAAGTTTCCTACTGGACTAACTACATCTGTTTCCTACACTCATCTGCTGCTTCGTCTTCAGAACTATGGCATGTTTCTATTTTCCTCTGGTAAATACTTCAAAAACACATTTTCTTCTTCCTCTTCCTCTCCCCTCACCCTCCCCCCTCCCCTCCCCTCTTCCTTCTCCCTCTCCCTCTCTCTCTTTGTTGAGACAGTCTAGTGTAGCCTTAGCTGACCTGGAACTCACTATGTAGACTAGGCTGGCCTTGAACTCACAGAGATGCACCTACTCCAGTAATATACTATCACACCTGGCCAAACCCTCTTCTTTACCAATTGTAGTTCATGCTAGGATACCTTGATTGTGACCTGCAGTCTTTTCTTCAACAGTTTATTGTTTTGAGATCTTTTCACTGGAGAGCTTCACCTGCGTCTCTAAAGAAGCTGATCCTATTCTCCCCGGCCACCACTATCTACAGGGTGTTCCCAAATCCCATGCAGGAACCAGGGACCTACATGCATTCAGTTAGACACATATAAAGACCGAAACTAAATTAAATTATAAAGCTTATTTATGGAAAATATATTTTAAATTATAATAGTAAAAAAAAAATCACATTTAGGTTAAGAGTATAGTTCAGCAGCACAGTGCAGGTTTAGCAATCACAGGGCCCTGAGTTTGATCCCTAGGACCAAGAAACAGAATAAAGGGATGGGGGGTGGGAATCACCAAGTTAATTACAAGCTGCTGCTGCTTTTGTTTTTGGTTTTTCCAGACAGGGTTCCTCTGTATAGCCCTGACTGTCCAGAGATCCACCTGCCTCTACCTCCTGGGTGCTGAGATTAAATGCCTGCACCACCAACGCCAGCTTAATTACAAGCTTCTTATCTCCAGCACTTAATACTATAAGTGGAAGCTGTTTTAAAGGCTGGAGGCACTCTGAAGTGAAGGCCTTATCTTCCATCACTTAACTCCTGATCCAAACATAAATGAATGGACTTTGAAGCTCTGTCTATTGTGTTGAACTCAATGTACTTATGATAGTAAGGAACACTTACAATAGTTCATAAGTCATTAATTTAAATGTAAGCCTACCACTGGATTAAAAGCAATTATTTAAGAAAAAAATAGTAACAAAGCCAGACATGGTAGTGCATGCTTTCAGTCCCTGTACTCAGGAGGCAGAGAGTTGGATTTCTTGAGTTCAAGGCCAGCCTGGTCTATAGAGAGAGTTCCAGGACAGCCAGGGCTCCGTGGAGAAACCTTATCTCAAAACAAAACAAAACAAAAAAGGATTAAAAGACCAAAGCTGGAAAAGTGATTACTATGCAAGTATGAGAACTCCAAGTTAGATCCCCAGGATCCATGCAAAAGAAGAACATGGCAGGCAGTGCAGTTCTGTAACTGCAATGTTGGGGAGCAGAAGACAGGCAGATCTCTGAAGTCCAGTGGCCATAACAGAATAGCCAGATTGATGAGGCTCAGGTTCAGAGAAAGATCCTGCCTCAAAAAAAGAGGTGGAAAATGACTGAAGAAGACACACATGTCTACCTCTGGTCTCTATACATACATGTACTCACAGCGCGCGCACCCACACACACACACAATAAGTCAACAACAAATGAATAAATCTAGCAAGAATCTTTTAAGCATAAAGCTAGATCTTAGAACTAATGATAAAGATCTGATAGCTTCCAGAGGACATTTTAATTATTTTGTTTTAACAGTTACAAATGGACTGTCTTCCCAATGTCTGAACTATTTCTGGCTAGAATTTTATTCCACTTACTCTCAAAAGACCACATACTATAACTGTAATGGTAAATCTTCACTATCAACTTGACTGGGTTTGGAATCATCTAGAAGACACATCACTTCTGTATCTGAAGGCATTTCTGGAGAGGTTTAACTAAGATAAAAGACTTGCCCTCCCATGGGCTGAGGTTTTAGAGTAAATAAAAAGGGTAAAGTGGGGACTAGGCAGGATTCCCTGTCCTGAGTCCTTGTCAGCTGAGAAGTGAAGAATCCCAGCCACACCCCATCATGAACTACACCTCGATGGACTGAACTCTCTTCAACCATGAGCCAAAATAAATCCTTCTATTATTGTTTTTGTTATGTAATTAGTCGCAGCAATGGGAAAATCATACACTAACAGAATGTTCAAACATTTACTTATCTTCAGTGGCATTATGAAAAGGTCTAACATAACATCAATCAATCCCAAGAACAAAGAAATGTGTTCTTTGTGGGGTGAGGGGGAGAGTTGGTTTTTCGAAACAGGGTTTCTCTGTGTAACAACCCTAGCTGTCCTAAAACTAGCTCTGTAGATTGGGCTAGCCTCGAACTCACAGAGATCTGCCTGCCTCTGCCTCCCAAGTGCTGGGATTAAAGGTGTGTGCTACCACCACCCAGCAGAAATGTTTCTTAAATCTTACCTATACATCATCAAGTTTTCAAGTACAACAACTAATCTCAGGAATATTATCTAAGCTTTCATTCACTCAACTCACTCATTCTTACACATACATCTTTTTTTTTTAAAGATTTATTTATTTATTATGTCTACAGTGTTCTGTCTGCTCATATCCCTGCAAGCCAGAAGAGGGCACCAGATCTCATTACAGATGGTTGTGAGCCACCATGTGGCTGCTGGGAATTGAACTCAGGACCTTTGGAAGAACAAGCAGTGCTCTTAACCTCTGAGCCATCTCTCCAGCCCTACACATACACCTTTTAAGCAGAGCCTAACATCTAATTTATTCTATTTATTTATTCTATTTATTTAGGAAAACAAGATACCACTACTTCATAAAAACTATAAATTAAAAAAAACCAAACCTTCAGCATATGTTAAAAAGATATCTCATTCCTGTTGTGCTGCTTTGTTCTGTTAGCTTACAAGACCTGGAATCGCCTGTGAAGAGAGCCTTGCTGAGGGCATGTCTATGTGGGATTACCCCAATTATTAACTTACAGCAAGACCTAGCCCATTATGGATGACACCAATTCCCTAGGCAGAGGATCCTGAACAGTGAAAGGAAGAAAGCTAGCTGAGAGCAAGCAGATAAGCAAGAATATATGTATTTTTTTTTGCTCTTGATTGTGGATGCGATCTAAGTTCCTGCCTTGACTTCCCCTCAATAATGGACTGTAACTTTCAATTTTAAGTCAAATCTCTCCTATTTTGCTTGTTGAGATATTTTATTACAACAGACATGAAACTCTTATGATCTCCAAGGTGTCTCCTGTCTCTTGCTAAGATTAACCAGTTCTCTAATGTGGACCTGGGATGGCTTCCACAGGCCTGCATATTAAAGTTTGGTTCTCAAGCCTGGCAATGGTGGCACACACCTTTAGTGTCAGCACTCAGGAGGCAGAGGCAGGTGGATCTCTGAGTTCGAGGTCAGCCTGGTCTACAAAGCAGATGCTAGGGGAGCCAGGACTGTTACATAGAGAACCTCTGTCTCAAACAAACAAAACAAAAGTTTGGTTCTCAGCTTGCTGCCATGGAGAAGGAGGTAAAAGGATTTATGTCATTGAGGGTACGGCCTTTAAGGAGACTTCGGGACTTTGCAATGTCTTCTTTAGTTTCTGAACAGACATGAGGTAGCACCTTGTTTCACTGTCCTAACAACTGTCCCCTCATCACAGGCCCCAAAGCACCAGCGCCAACTGACCACAGGCATAAAGACAAAGCCACAATCCACAATGAAACTCTCCTCATTACAAGGTACAGTCTCAGGTATGGTTCAGTACTGGAAAGTTGACTAACACCAGATAATTCTAATAAAATTTTATCTTTTCTCTATTCTACTTAAAAAAAGTATCCCTTAAACCAAAACCCAAAACTCAATTTAAAAACCCCACCACAGTGACTGCTTCCTATGGATCACCTGCTCATTGGTACAGACAAAACAGCAAGTACCAACTGAACAAGAGAAAGGTGACTTTAAAACACATTTCCTGTGACACAAACTTAGGGGGCATTACAGAGTTTGAAGATGCGGGCTGGAGAGATGGCTCAGTGGTTAAGAGCACTGGCTGCTCTTCCAGAGGTCCTGAGTTCAATTCCCAGTAAG